CCGCCCCCCCCCCCCCCCCCCCCCCCCCCCCCCCCCCCCCCCCCCCCCCCCCCCCATTTTTTGTGTGAGCAAGTTTACCTCTTGCTCGAGAGATTCTGCTCTAGAAGTTCTGCTCTAGAAACTATTCGCCCTGGTAACTGCTGTGCAAGCAGACACTTGGACCGCTTAGAAGAGGGGGTACTTCCGCTTCAACTGCGCTGCCTTGTGCTAGTAGAGCTTGCTAGGGAAAGAGGGGAGCTTGGTCTCACGAACAATAACACAAGGCGAGAGCCCTAGGGGTAGGCAGTGAATGCTATTAGGGACAGGGGCGTGGAGACAGGAACATATGACCGGCCAACCATTGGTGCTCTAAACGTGGAGCATCGTGGATATGCCGTCTTGTGTCTGTCCTTAGTAGAATGAGCAGAAATCGATGCCTGTGAGTGGTTGTTAGGGACAATAGATGATAGGACCTGGCGTGCCTGACGACTAAGCAGTGACCCGCCTTCTTAATTCAGCTATGGGATATGTTTATTATCCTACGATTACTTAGGTACGCTTGTAGTACAGCATGTGGATTAGAGGCACTGCTTTAACATGGCTTGTCTTTATAAAGGTAGCTCATAAACAAACGATCCAGCTTTCACAGATGCTTTGGATACCTTAAGATCGTCTAGCAGCGGAACTATCAATGCTACTAGATTACAGGACGGTAATGTAAATATTACCTACGCAGGGATAGTACGAAGCATGAGGATGTAAGCACGACGTAAAACGCATCTCCGTTAAAGCTTAGAAAATTATCGATGTCTGGGCCAGGACCATTGATATAGCTGGGAGGGTTTCGTCCCAGGAATTTTAGTAGTCTAGGGATCTTGTACGGGGATTAAGCTGGAGATTAATGATTTAGTCATATCCGGTATATTTAATATCACAGAACTTAAATATTGGGAGAATTGTAAATTATCAGATAAATTGTAAGATCTTGTGAGTGCCAAATTTCCCCTAGGATCATCAGCTTGGATGAAATGTATTGTGCCAGAGCCCTCATTATTCTAGACCAGCAGGCATACACATGTTACGAGCAAACGTGTATTTTTTCTTTTTCTTTTTCTACATATTCTATCTACCTTGTAAAAGATGGCTGTTACTTAAAACCGTACAAATGAACTCTGGATCCGTCTTTACTGCGTGTTGTTGTGCTACTGGACCTCTTTTATGAGCCTTTAAGAGGTAGACGAGCACGCATGCTACCGGTTGCGTAAAGGAATAAACTGGCATATAATATGTATGATCAGACATATCCAAGTGCCAGATATATGAGTGTGTAGCAGTGTGTTTAGGCATATTTATACTTGTAAAGCCTCCCTGTAAGCTTTGAGGCTACAGAAGATATTGTTTATTGCATACAAATAGGAAGCTGGATAACTACAACCTACATTGATAGATGCGTTAAGATTTTAGATGAGAAATTTAAAATAAAGGATAATTGGCATGTGTAGCCATGGGCTTCCATAAGCTAGGCTAGAGTTCCTTGCGAAATAACAATGTTATTTTCACATCTTCTAAGACCATGTTGTGATAAGATGATCTTGGCTGTGTTAATGTAATTGCTGTAGGTTTAGTATTGAAGTATGTGAATTTAAAGACTTGAAATTTATTTTCTTGGGAACCTCAATGGTTGCTCTATAATTATTTGGCCGTATTTTATTTCCTATTACTTCCCATCATTCCTTTTTGCATGGTAAACTGATTATTTAAATATGTTACTGATCTGGATCCTGAGCACTAAATAATATTATATATAGCAGTTATTTTAATCAATCTCTTTTAATTAATGCTTAAAATGTAAGGATATCAAGTAAGTCAAAGCATCCTTACGGGGGCCACCCTAGTAGAGACTACCTTAAATTTTTAAACCTTCAAAATAAATATCTTAATTTTAATTTAATGTTATTTAATTAAATTAAATTTAATTAATTTATAATTTATTATATTTTAATAATAATATAGTTTTTTATTATTAATTTAATTAATAAGGTTTTATTTTCCAAATTAATATTAAAATTATTAATTATAATTATATTATTTGATTTTTAAACTTTTAATTATTCTTTTTTTTTTATAATAATTTTAATATTTATAAATATTAAATTTAAATTAGGTAATATTTTATGCCGTTTTTACGGTTTTGTATTTATTAATATCTTTTTTAAATATTTAACGCAGGTCTTTATTATGATTAATTTTATAATAATTTTATTAAAGGTTTTATTAATTTTATTAAATAAAAGTCTTATTACAGATTTAATAAATATTATATTGATTTTAAATAGTTTTTTAGTTAAAATATTAATATCTTATAAATTTAAAGGCGTTATTAAAAGGATTAAGGTTATATTTTTAATAAAATTAAATTTTTTTAAGTTAAAAATAAAATTTAGAAAAATTGGGATAATATTAAAAACTTTTTAAAATATAAATTAGTAATTTAATAACTTATTTTAATTTTTAAAATAAATTTCTATAATTTTTTAATTAATTAGTATATTATATTTGGTTAAATGTTTTTTTATATTATTTAATAAGTTATAATAAATTTCTTTTTATTAGAATTAAAGATATAATATAATTGGTATATTTTAATAAGTTTATAATAATGATGGTCGTGTGACACTGACATAAAGGCACCTTACTAATGATAAGGTGCCCTTATCGTAGATAAGGGAGGAAGAGATAAGATACCCGACTTTACTGGATAAAGGGGTCGGGTATCCATTATTATTGGAATATAAGAACATGCTATACTTAGCTAGCCTCAGATAGATTCTTCCCTCCTTAGACACTCATTATACACCAGTCTCAACACTATTGTTTATTGTTACCTTGTTTATTGCTTTTACCATACGTACGTACCTACCAACAGTTATATAATATATAAAGCGTAATTATTTAAAAGCGATTACGGCGTCGTTTTTAACTTTAATATATTAATATATATAAGGAATTTAAAATTTAATTTAAGTTTTTTTTTAAATGTTTTAAATTTAAAATTACGAAAATTATTTAATTTATTTAAATCTTAATCGGGAATAACGACGAAAGCGGGAACTTTATTAAAAGGTTAATTATTAATAATATTAATTTTAAATAATTAGTTTTTTTTTAAATAATATAAGAAATAATTAAGGTTTTATAAAAGTTTTATTTAAAGGTATTAAATGTATATATATATATTAAAAACGAATATAATTAATTATTTAAACCGTATTAAAATTTTATTTTAAAATTATATAATAATTTAAATATATAATTTAAAATATATATAATATTTTAAAAAATCATTTAAATATATACGTATTAAAACATAAAATTTAAAATGATTATATAAAAGTTATAACATTATTTATAAAGGTATTTAAAAATTAAAAAGTTTAAATAATTAATTAATTTATTATATTTATTAAGATTAAATATTTAAAATTAATTATTATTAAAGATTTTTAAAAGTAGTTTTATATATTAACATTAGTTTTAAAATTTATATTAATGGATTAAATAATTATTTAAAATATTATTTTTTATAAAAAAATATATAATAAAACTTTAATATTTTAAAAGGTAATTATAACGTTATAAAAATATATATAAATTTTTAAAAACGTTAAAAAAAATAGTTAAAAGTATTTTCGAGTTAATTTATAACATTGATAAAAATGAAAATATTAATTAAAAAAGTGAATTTAATTGTTAAAAAAAATTATTATAGTTTATAAAAACCTTTAAAAAATAATAAAGTAATTTTAATAAATATAAAAAAATTAATATTAATTTAAATTAATTTTATAAATATTAAAATTATAATTATAATGTTATATATAAAGTTTATTAAAATTTTTATAATATTAAAAATTATTTTTATATATTTAAAAATAAAAGGCTTAAATATTTTAAGTTTAAAAAAGTAAATGTTATTTTAATAAAGTTAATTTTAAAAATTAATTCCGATTTAATAATTAAAATAAAAATTTTAAAAAAGGAAATAAAAATTTAAGAAATAAAAAATAAAAATAATTAATTAAATAAATATATAATTATTACGGAAAAAGGTGTAGTTTTTATAATATTAACTTATATTATTATTTTTAATATTATTTAATATTTATTAAAAAATTTAATAATATTAAATTTAAAAATTATTATTTATATATTTAATAAAATGTTTTAATTTATTAATTTTAAAATAATATTGAACTGGTGCTGGTGTATCAGGTGACCTTGACCTTGATCATGTGATCATATTCTTAGTATAAGTACCATTTATGGTCGCACACACCCATTTTACATAGTATCATCCACTTTTAATACAAGTCATTCCTTTCTTTCATCATTTTCATCATCTAAAAAGTCCTTGATATCAGGTTTAATAAGGCTTGATCCAAGGCTAAGACGTTTAAGTCTTGTTTAATATTATTAAATAATTATATTATAATAAATAATAATAAAGTTAAAATTATAAATTATAATAAAATAAATATTTATATTTAATATTTAAAAAGATTTATTAAAATAAAGTTAATAAATATAATTTTATATTTTTAAAATAATTACGAAAATAAAGTTATTAATAAAATATACGTAATAATTTTATTTATTTAAAATAATTAAATAATATTATTATGGTTAAATTTATTAATTATTATAATTAATTTATATTTAAAAATATCTTTTATAAGGTTTTAAAAGTTATTTTTTATATATATTATAACGTTTTAAATTTAAAGTTTATAAAAACTTTAAATATTATAATTATTTTTTATTAATATTTAAAATTAAAGTATTTAAAGTTTTAAGTTTTAAAACATTTAATTAATATTAATAAAAAAGTAAAAATTAAAGGATTTATAACGGTTAAATGCGAAGTATACGGTATATTTAAAATAAAATATTAAATAAAATATATATTACGTTATATTAATAAATTTTTTAATATAAAATTAATTTTTAATTATTATTTAATAAAAATAAATAATTATAAAATTATAAATTTTATATTAATTATTAATAAGTAAATTAATATAATTTTTAATTATTATTTATATAATTAAAAATTAAAAATAATAATTACGGTGTTAAATTAACTGTGTATTACGTAATAATATAAAAGGGAATGTAAATAACGATCGTGTTTTAATTGGTTGTTATAAAGTAAAAGAAAAGGGGTTCCCCCGAGTGGGGAAAGATATTATTAAATTAATTAACCATGTTAAGTGATTTAAAAATCTTTAATCTTATGTAAAATAGCGGTATTGAACTGGTGTGGTGCTACATCGCCAAGAGCAAGGGTATTATTATGTAATCTTAAGTTATAAGCCATATAAAAGTCTAATATTCGTTGTATTCTTCTAATTAAATAACTACGATTATTATTATTTAATTATACATTTAATATAGACACATTTGTTATTTTCTTATATTTACAGCTTATGGTCCTATTTTGCGTATTTATCTTATATATTCTATCCAATTAATAGATCCTTATAGTTCTTCTAGAGTATAGTGCTATTATCAGTTGTTTAAGGCCTTTCACGAGGATCTAGACGTTGAAGTGATATGCCATACTCTGTAAGAGATACTAACTCCTGTTCAATAAGATAAATATGTAAAATAGGGCCATAAACTGTAAATATGGGAAAATAACAAATATATTTATATTGAATATATAACTGAATAGTGATAATCGTAGCTATTTAATCAAAAGAATATAACGAATATTAGACCTTTATATGGCCTATGACTTAAGATTACATAATAATACCCTTGCTTTTGACAATATAACACCATACCAGTTCATTATATTTTAATATGCATATATTTAAGTAATTTTTTAAGATTTTATACGTATTTTAAATTATATATTTAAATTGTTATATAATTTTAAAATAAAGTTTTAATACGGTTTAAATAATTAATTATTTTAATTTAATTAATTTTTTTATTAATTATATTTATTTTTAATGTATATATATACGTTTAATTCTTTTAAATAAAATTTTTATAAGGTTTTAATTATTTTTTATATCGTTTAAAAAGGAAAAAATTAATTATTTAAAGTTAATATTATTAACGGTTAATTTTTTAATAAAATTCCCGCTTTTATTATTACTCCCGATTAAAATTTAAATAAATTAAATAGTTTTTTATAATTTTAAATTTAAGATATTTAAAGAAAAGGTTTAAATTAAATCTTAAATTTCTTATATATATTAATATTATTAAAGTTTATTTATTTTTAAAATTAATAATTTTAAATAAATAATATAAACGTTTTATTTTATATATTTTAATTATTAAAATATTTAAGTTTAAGATTTAATAATAATATAGTAAATTTTATAATAAAATAATAAGTAAATAATAATTTATTTAAAATTTATTTTAACGCGTACGTATTATATTATATAATATTAATTAAAATTTTATCTTTAAAGCTTATATAATTTAAATATATAAAATTTTTAATTATTACATAATTAATACATATTAAATAAGTATTATATAAGGTTTAATTTATTATATTTTTAATAATTTAATTAATTGAAATAAAATTGTAGAAACGTATATTACACCGCTATTTTACATGAGGCTAGGGATTTTCAGGTTACCTAACATGGCTGACTAATCTGACAGGTATTTTTTCAAGCGTGGCACCGGTAGGTATTTTGGCCAGGGCCTATATGTGCCTTAGGTACCTATGTAAGCACATAACACCTGAGGCATTATTTTGTATACCTAGCCCAATCCTGCTTCAGTTAGATACTAATCATGTTCCATTGTCGGCTTCCGTCGCTGCAAGTATTCCTTAATATTCGTGCTTTTGTACCAGCCCCTACCCGAATACTATTGCGCTGTTCTGCATCTTGTGACACGACATTTCGAGCAATGGATATACCATAGTTGGTTGCTTCTGAGCTATCCCAGTCTCGCTCGTCTTGCCCGCTTTGCCCGTCAACAACATAAGGCTCTGGACCAAATTGTTCGTCGGCAGCATCATTCATGCCACAACTAGCTGAAAAGATTACCTTAGCACATTGAATAATGTCCCTCTGTTTCTCCAGTAAGTAATTGTGTGTGTGTGCCGAGATTTTGCTGGCCTTATCCCAGTCTGCGAGCGTAACGTCTTCGAGACCTCGATCCACATTGAACCGATAATACCGGCCCGTATTTTTATACCTCTCGTCTAGCCTATCCGCCACTTTCTTAGATGCTGTTGAGATGGACTTCAGAGCCTTTAGTATCGACGTCCGTGTGTCTTTGATGGTGGCAACCGAGCCGAGACCTGTGCCAATACTAAGAACATACATTTGACGGTCTCCGGGAAATTGCTTCTGAGCTTCCTCCATGAGAACCTCGCACGGGTTGTTATAACCGAAGGCGGCATCGATGAACTCAATATTATCTCGACCACACCGAATAGATTTAAAGAAGGTTGATGCTGCCGAAGTTGCGCGAGCCACTTCCCAGATCGTGCAGTCCCGAAACCCGCTTGTGTTGTCGTATGTTTTGAAGAGGGTAGGTCTCGCATCAACATTCTCCTTAGTTATTGCCAGCACCGCACTATATAGGACCTGTCAGCCCAAGTCGAAGAGATTCATCCATAAAAAGGCGTACGTCTTTACACAAGCATCATTCCGGAAAAGAACATCATCATGGGAGCAAGCCCCCCGAGTGACACACGCTTCATCTTTACATTGAGCTTTCACAACTGCCTCTATAGCCCTCTCGAGAGCTTTGGCAGAATAAATCCCAGTAGGAGGTAGAGGCAGATGTATTAAGCGCCGCTTAGGTGTAAAGGCTTCCTTCGCCAGACTTTTATAAGCGTTAATACAGTCCTCAACTGTCATACCAAGTCGTCCAAGCATTATTGCAATGATTCTATTGCCAAAGTCAGTACAAGTCTGCCTTTAATATTGAGTCATACTACCCTCCTGTGCTTGTTCCTCCAATAAGGTCAAAATATTCGCACGGCCTGGGAACTTGTTGTAAATTATAGATTCGGCGGATGTTTTCCATTACTTCCTGAAGTATCAGGATGCTTGACAGCCCACGGATTCCACCTCCATCTAGTATTGTAAGCTCGATAAATATCCAGGTACTTTGGTACATCATAGTGCGAATATGGAACTCTTACCAAGCGATAAGATTCTCAAAGGAGACGCCATAATCTATATTGAATCAGATAGGTATCCCTTAGGCATAGATGCCTTGTATTAGAAAATCCAGGGTGGTGTATAAGATAAAGCTTCTTCTTAAATCATGGTAAGGCTCATTAGGCTTCAATCCTGCTGGGCGCATCTGCAAATATCAGGTTTCTTACATGTTGTATCAGGCTATTGTGCCAATCTTGGGGACGAACAGGAGGAGAGACAATATGCCCTTTTAATGCAATACCACCGCACTGCCTCTATATAATAAGCGATTGGGTCTAGGAGGTCAATAGATTGGGTGGGTAACTTTTTTAGCATTCAAGATGACTAATTCGACTCCTGGCCACAAATACATGGGCTAAATAGGGGGGGTAGAGTCGTCCTCTATTCTATACGAACACTCAAGAGTATAAGTTGGGGCTAGTCAAGCGTAATCCACGACAGTAAAATAATTAATGGGTTTAAACAACTTGATAATTCGAGTATACACCTCGTCTCAATGCGGGTATATATTATGCTTTGGGATCTTAAGAGGTATAGTGTTACATCTATGCGCGCATTATGATGTTTAACACATCATAGTTTGCACGATATCTAGGTACCTATCTATATCAATTGCTTGATCTAAAAATGAATTATGTTATAAAATTAATATAGAACACAAGCTAGAAGAGTCATCATGAAATCGTAATATAAAACATTTCAACATCTCTTATATTGATATAATTGAAGGTTAAGATATTGTGATCTAACTAGTTAACATCGAACACGGCCCGTAGAGCACGCTTTTCACACGCTATATCTCTGGTATTGGTGTAGGAAGGACCAGGTATAAGGTAATAATTAGGTAAGGATTAGGTGTACACCAATAAGCGTACGGCAAAGGAAAGGGAACACACGGTACTGAAATGAGGCTATCACGATCTGTTGTTGCTTGTTGTTTGAGTTGTGTGTGTGTGGGTTAGCCTAAAAGGTAAACCCTTTTAGGCTTAGCCCCACGCACGTGGTGGCACGTGACTAGCTTACATAATTGGCTATTCCCCATATTCCAACAATTGGATTATACACGAGTACCTGATCAAAAGATAAAAATAAAATAAACACTCAGCTTAAGAATATCAATAAGGGGTATATGGTTGGTGTTTATTAATAAAGTATAAGAACAAATAAAAAGAGTCTCACACATGATATAAAACTGACTCTTTTATCCTAGAAATAACACAATATCTCCTATTATTGCTGAATTAAAAAATGTATATTAAGGAAAATGAAGTTGCACAATCATCAAATGATACTTGATCTTTGAGAAACTACAATTCTATCCGAAGCACCGATAACTTTCGTAAGGTCCTTATGTTTTCCCAAAGGTGTTTACAATATTACTATATTAGGTACCTGTTATGTAGGTATTTATCTTAACTTGTGGCTAGGTTAGAGTCTTTGGATGGGCAATAAGCTTGTCTTGAACATTTATCCCCGCAACCTATCATCTGTATTAGGAATAAGGGTAATATCGAAAAATCCACCATACGGCATATATTATAAGGAGCTGAATGGCTTGTTTCTCAGTTATGGCTACTTAGGACTTTTGATCTTAGTGAACTTCCCAAGGATTAAAATCCTATTGATGACGTCGGCCTCCCAGGCGGCTTATGCAGCAGCCCTAATACCCTCAATGTCCACTACATAGCAACAAGTCCTACTAACCAGACACTATCCCCATTCCCAGGTCTTACCGCTTTATAAGCCCCTGGTCAATAATAGGGTATGATCTGCCGCCAATCCCAGTTACGCTGCTCTGGCTGGGAACGGTAACTTCAACATTCTGCTAGTAAAAATGTGTGTCTATCTACTGTGCTGATCGGCAAGCGTTCGTGCGCTTGTAAATGAACATGCAGTACGCTTAACCGTCTGAAATACTATCATGTATTTCTATATCCCAAAAGCAAATACGTAGAAGATGGGAGTAAGGTAGGTTATGACAAAATTACCAGAGGAACTACAAGAGGGTACCCTAGTATCTTACAAAAGTAGAAAGCGAGTTAATGTATTACCAAGACGGCCAAGTGAGGTGGCATATGCTTGATTCGCGTTCAGATGCATGCATTAGAGTTACATGCAGAGACTCCAACTTTAATATAAGCTCCAAGTAAGTTACTTACTATTCTATACAGACCGGTGAGATCTTCAACTGTATAATAATCCTTACTGCTAGTTGTAGGAAGTAAGGTAATAATGAGGCTCTATTGTACCATGAGCAATGGCGGTCCTTTAGTCCTTGAGAGAAACAACAATACACACTTTTATAATACAGACAAGTTCACAATACTGAATATATTACGTAGGTTAGGCAATATAATTGGCTTTGTTAGTTAGCCTGACTCGGTAACTCGTCTGGGTCTCAAATTTCCGACTCGGGACAAGTCGACAGAACGCCAATTAAGCTTTCTTTAGTTGATTGGCTGCACTAGTCAAAACCTGGATGGCCTTTTTTTGGACAATTTCCGAATGGGCTTTACAGTAGCTTTACCCGGAGTTGACTGCCGAGGAGACCGGTAGTACGTAGTGCGACCCTAATGTATTTAAACGCTGTCTAGGTGCGTAATGACTTAAATACTACCGTGTCTAAGGGTGAGAGAGATATGGAGGCGAGGCGAATTACCGGCAGAGCGAAGCGCGTTTAGGATGTCACCTTAGCGGGTTGACGCCGAAATGTTGGGGTAAGACGCAGTAAAGAAGATTACAAGGTCTAATAAAATATTGGTGGTGATGTTGTTAATAATAGAGCGGGAAGGTAGACTTTGGAAAAAGGGGCATAGCTTAAGAGTACCTAATGCATAGGTAATATACAATATACACATGTATACTGCATATTATACACCTTATTTCAAAGGGTAAATATGGACATACTATGTAAACGCCTCGATTTCAGTGGTGACACGAGGCGGACAGAGCGGGGAATCCCATTTCGTTGATGCCGTAAAACTTGCGTCATTGCAGAAGGCACGGATTCTTAACTGCCAACTGCACAAACAAAAAGAGGAGAATTTAAGAATCTCACTACTTTAGGTACCTACCCAGGTAATGCACACGTGTAGGAATATAAGAAGCGACAGGAATAGAAATTCTATCTGTTGTACAAAAGCTGAAGATAAAATAGGAAACTATGCATGCGAAGATCGTATAGTTATAGTACCAATGGAAAGAATTGTACGTGCCGGCTCGAGCTTTTGTTTATGTAGTATGTAGGCTTTTGATAACACGGGATCTCCATGTACGTGATAAGTCAACCCACGATCTTGGATCTGGGCAGTGGAACAATCACGAAAGAACTAAGATAACGAAATGTTACAACGGGCTTCTAGGTTGAATGTGTATACGAAGGTACGTATTATCAAAGTTGGGAAAGCCAGGGGGAGAGTGTTCGGGAGGAGGTAAGACGCGAATAGAAAAAAAAAAAAGGGAAAAAGGAAAAAGGAAAAAGGAAAAAGAAATACAGTTTGCCAAGAGCCAGCTTACACTGGGCGTGGTACTTGGAGGGAGTGACGTAATTTGTTGCGAATTTCCCGCCCTGACCACCTTTTCCACACTTCCTTTTATTTTTTTCTAGCTTATCCTTGAGACGCTAAGACATAACTGTCTGACCGTTATCCTCGAAATTCTACGCGAAGGCGGAAAGAAAACGTGGATAGAAAAAGAAGGTTAAACATAGTAATTTGAACTTGTAAGTCGCGTTCGCGGATTAAATATTTCCAAACAGATGAACTAAAAAAAAAAAAAAAAAAAAAAAAAAACTTGACCTAATAACTTCTACATCAGCTAGACAGTTAATCTTTCATTTCGTCTTCCATGTACGTATACGACATTATTTTTTTTCTCCCGCGGAGCCTCCCTCGAATGCTGCTTTCCAATTTGCCAGACGCGAATGGGGCACGTATGAGAAAGGTAAAATACGACCAGGGCATTGCATTTCGGCCGGGATATTTGATTTGAAGAAAGGCTGGAGAACAGCCATTCTTTTTTTTTTTTTCGCCACCCCCCAAAACGTTCTGGTATGGGTAGGATATGTAGGTGTGGATGGCCTGCCGCATTTCAACTAGCGTAATTGGAGAGTCAAGTATTCGAAGGTAGACTACGTAGGAGATACATATGTAACGTATGGAGGGACGGGACGACTCGAGACTTGTCTTTCTCCCTTAGTATCGAAATTCGAGCCTCCCATTATTAAGACATCCTTTTAAGGTCTCTCCCGCTTGTCCTTGGCTTTTATTCTATCTATGTTATCGAATTTATCGAATTTTTGTTGGCCCTTGATCGCGATCTCACAAATCTGCTTTGTAATTCAAGTCTTGAAATCTTCATCCTTAACTCCATGCCCATCACCTTGCGCCAAGAAGTTTGCTTCGAATATATCCTTACAATTTGAACCAATTGCGCATGCCCATACGCATGCCCAACATGTATTATATGTACTATTATATGTACTATGACAAGTACCTACAGATTTAAAACTGTTATCTACCACCTATTAACACTCTGTTCGTTTTTCAAAGTAAATAACTTTTCTGGTGTAAACTTTAGCAAACAGGGAAATATTAAAGATAACATTTAGAACTGATGACGATGTCATTTTATAATTATGTTGTATTGTTTCTATTTAAAAGAGTAATACAACTATTAGTCTGGAGTTTTATGTACGCAAAAACAACCTGAGCATGGGGAAGAGAAGAGAAAAAATATGGCCAATTTGCTTTTCTGTTAATAAACGGTATACGGTATGCCACCTGTACCTATCTCGTATGTTTTCCTTAACATCCAGACGTCCAGACGTCCAATCCAAAGTCAGGTCGTTGTGATTCGGGCTGGGGTCCGTCGGGTCAAAGAGGCAAAATGGAGTGGTTTGCCCCGTTTAGTAAACAGTAACCGGACGAATCACCGTCTTCTCTTCAGTATTTTCAGTATCGTACGTATTTCGTACCACAATTGGTTTAATTTTGACTTAACTGCCTGACTGCTTGAATAATACGTGTTTTAGTGCTGGCTTCTACATACATACATACATAAATTATATACTAGCAGGCTTATGTGCAGGCTACCCAAACAGACCTAAACACCTAGGTTAAGTGCATGTATGTAATAAACCTAGCAGGCCTAGCAGAATCAGAATGCTAAACCAACATTAACAACATGAGCGAGAGCGACAGGGAACTGCAGGGAATAAGTTAGCGTGGCCGCACTGTACGGGGTACTTGGGGATCTTCGATCACGCCTTCCACACGACCATTGGACGATCAATCCATGTCTAGTGCGGGCCTTGTCCACCTTCGGCTCCAAGCATTTTTCGGGGGGCTTTTACGTCTGCTGTGCTTGCCTTTTCTCCCAAAAACCACCCCTTATGTCACTTCTTCCCTCATGACCTCATCGCCAACATCTCCTCGACACACCTGCAACTTATCACTTCGAACTATCTGCGTCAATACCAATATACACACTCAAAACACAGCACAACAGCAACAACGGGCCCCCCCTTGTAGTAATAACTACGTGATAACTTGCTAGTCTAGCCTATACCGTCACTCATTCATCAACTAATTGCCACGATACCCTAGGTTGCGGCCCGCGCTCGCACCTAATTCCCACCCAGAGGTAGTTTACCGTTTTTTTATTTTTCCTTTTGCAAGCTGCCTCCCCAAGTCAGTGTCAGTGTTGTGCGTCAGGCGTATCGTTACATCATATTTCTTCCCCCAAACGCCCACCTACGTACTTGCACGCCCAGCGCCATAAAAACGACTTCGTCATCGTCGTCACAATGGCCCCGACCGAAACCAAATCGTCAGATAATTCTTTGTCAGGTATGCTTGCCGATTGTTTAACCGTTTCTCGCACCGACCTCCACCGGTCATTGCTTCCGTGCCGTTGTCGCTTAAACAACAATCAGCCCCCCCTCGCGCGTGCAATTGGTATGCGCTCACACGGACGTCATTGCTAACGACTTATCGTCATTTGTAGAATCTAACGGCGACAAGAAACCCGAAGTCAAGTCGGAGGGAGCCGCCAACAGTCACAACAACGAACCTGGTCGCCCGCTCGCGCCTCCGCCCAAGCCCGGCGAAGATTACTTCTCGAGTAACTTGAGCCTTGAGCCTAATCCGTTCGAGCAGTCATTTGGTACGGGCGGCACGGTTGAAACCCCTGGTGGTACCAAGTTGCCCAGCGTGGCGGCCTTAACCTCGCCGTCGTCATTGTTGCCCGGGAACGGAAACACGCCGTTCAACTGGGGAGGTGGCTCCCTTAGGACGGGACCGCTCAGTCCAGCGATGCTTTCTGGCCCGGCGAATGACTATTTTGGTGATACGTCGCATACTTTGCGCGGTGGTTTTACCCCAAACGAGAGTTCTCTGCGGACGGGTCTAACGCCGGGCGGGAGTGGCTCTATGTTCCCTGCCCCAAGTCCCAGCTCGCAAGCTCTCTTTGCTCAATTAGCAAGTGGCGCTGCAACTCCTAGCACGCTGGACTTCCACAGGACCGCTATGAGTGCAGCTGCGGCGAAGGCAAGCCGCGACAAGCAGCAACCCCAGCCCGTAACCTCCCAACCGGCGGAGACAAACGGAGCCATAGTTAAGACAGAGGCTAAGCCAGCATCAGGCGCATTTGATCCTCATGATAATGATGCTGCTAATGGCCTTTTCATGCTAGCTCAAGGTGCGCAGGGTCGAAACGGAACCCAAACACAATATCCAGTTGGTGGCAGCCAGCCGGTTCATGCTCACCCGGCTCCACCGCCGCCAGCCCAGCCTACAGCCACTACTTCTCCTCACATGAACGGCAATGGTGCGACGGCATCTTCCCCTATGAGAGGAGTCAGTGAGGCGGCCAGTGGTATGTCGGAAGATAATGACACAAAACCAAGTAACAGAGGGAAGGGGAAACGTGGCATTGGAGCTGCTGCTACAAACGGACGACGTAAAGCTGATGATGCACCTGCCAAGCAGCCTGTTAATAAGAAGCCCAAAACGGCATCATCAATTAATAGCAACGACAATTCTTCGGACGAAGACGATGACGAGAAAGACCTTAATGGTTCTCACACGAAGTCGAAGATGACTGACGAGGAAAAGCGAAAGAATTTCCTCGAACGTAATAGGTATGTCCACTTGTATCTGCTACCGCTCCAAATGCTTTGCTAACAAGATTTATCAAGGGTTGCCGCTTTGAAATGTCGTCAACGTAAGAAGCAATGGTTGGCCAATCTACAAAATAAGGTAGAAATGTTTAGTAGTGAGAATGACGCTTTGACGGCGCAAATCTCTCAGCTGAGGGAAGAAGTTGTGAACTTGAAGACTTTGTTACTCGCTCATAAGGACTGTCCGGTTACACAGCAACAAGGATTACACGGAGCGTTTATGCAACAAGCCATGGAGACGTACAACCCGCAGATCAACCCTTACAGCATGGCAGCACCTATCCCGAACCAACCTGTGATGGCAGGACAAGGAGTACAGCGGCGCTTCTCATAGGATGACGAGGCCGCTCCCCATGACCAAGTCTATCCAGAGCTACCTGGATGCTAACACCGGCAACGATGATCAAGAGTATAGGTTTCGGGTGGTAAAAGTCAAACAGTTGCTTCAAAATCTTGGTCATCCATCAAGCGGTTAGCTAATCATCTTTAAACATCCTTTAATGGTATCTGGAGGTAGGGAAAATATTCGGCGCGCTTGCTCTTGACGGCATAGGAGGTTTAGTGAGCGTTCCTAGCTAGGGAGGCGCTCGCTTGTTAACTCTGATGTCTGTAATAACATTCGATAGTCATGAGAGCACGATAGGGCGCTAAGGTTATGGCTGCATTGTGGCGCGTCTGTAGCTAATGTTGTGAGACGTATAGGCCTACAGCTTCGCCATGTTGTCGGTTGATATTGATATATGTACGTACGTATCTGGCTGGGTATACACATTAAAAACGGTGTTCTGGGAGGGTCGGAATTGCTTTATTATACTATCTCTCGGGGGGCGTTGAGGAGGATACAGGCGGCAACTAGGGCTTTTCGGCCATCTTCGTCTTCCTCGGGAGTTACTTGGTCTTCATATTTTTCGACCGCTTATATTAGCTAGCCGATACACGCAGGCTATTAACAAACGACGCAATTATCAATGATTATTATAGTGCGATAAGATTCTTAGGGTTTACATGACCGGGGGAGAAATATACGACATGTGAATATTTTTTGAGAGTTTACTTATTGTTGAGATGAGATTTGAAATTATCAATGTGTTGTGTTAGTGCAGACTTGAGTTGCACGTTAGGTAGGATTATTACCCTAAGACCTCGTGTCTCTTACGTAGGTAATTACATAGTTAAGAATATAAGCTTTTTTAATAGATAGTTTACATAGGTAGCTATGCACATAAGAGATAGTTGAAGTAAGTGGATCATGCAAGCCACGGCAAGGCTAAATATACCTAACTTCCATTGGCGTCGATGGTTGGCCCGTGCACAATAACTCATGTAAACATTGAGAAAGTGGAAGGATCAACTTCGCGCCTCATCACCACCCACACCCTGCAACGCCTCAACCGAGTAAACCGCCCACGAACGACGTCGAAACGAAAACCAACATTTATACGTACAATGCTCAACGTCTTTAACACTACTCTAGATAAAGTAAAATATAATTGAATCCTTCGCCAATCGATTGACGCGGTTATAACAGCTGTTTCGCGCTTCATCCATCTCCATTACCCGATCGAGCACTAGTCAAGACTTCGCGCGACATAGCTTTTTTTTTCTTTCTATCTGACCGAAACACTCCAGATTCCAGACCGATGCGCAGATTATTCCAGCGTCCATGACTACCCTCGTGCAGACCCGTCAGCCATTACAAGCCCTGAGCATGAGCAATCAGTCTCAGCCTAAGCGTCGCAGGAGCTCGCGCCTTGCCTGTGGGTACCCCCCCCTTTTGTCCCGGCGGGAGAAGAGATCTAGAAGAATGCAGTTGGATAGTTGGATAACTAACAGAATCATCTATAGCATATGATGAACAGGATGGGGATTTTCATTTTACGCGAGGATCTAAACGAGCAAAGACACAGCCGGAGCCGATACCTGAGGACGAACCGGCACCGGCCCCGGCCCCCGTACCTATACCATTACCTAGAAGGGGAAGACCAAAACAGAATAAGGACCGCGAGCCACAACCAGCACCCCCAGTTCAGGCGGTTCTACCGGCCCAGCCAGCACCCAGGAGAAATGCAAAGCGGAGGTCGAACCAGATAACATCTGATCAAGATGAGATACAAACGTCGCCGCCTCCGCCACCGCCACCGCAAAGGACTACGAGGAAAAGAGGACGTCCATCTGTGGATAAGACCGAAAAGGAACCAGCAAAGGTTACGAACGGAGTCTCTAAGAAGCAGAAAGAACGGATAGAAGAGGAAGTCCAAGAAGAGGCAACTCAGTCAACACCTGTGGATGAGCACAAGGGAAGAGGCAGAGATAATGCATCAGACTCCAAGAAGATCGCGCTGCCGTTTAGCGACACGCCTATAATGAATCGTAACAAAGAAATGAGGAGGAAGACAGGGGCTCGCAGGAGTAGTTTGGGTATGCGCGGGAGAAGGGCAAGCTCGCTTATAGATAATGGCCACAGCGCCATACCGCATAAAGCAGTCGATTCCGCCGAATTCTACAAGCATATCGAAGCTGATCTGATGGAACCACGCCGTATGAAGCAACTGCTTACGTGGTGTGGAGAGCGAGCTCTGTCAGAGAAACCACCGTTAGGATCCTTGAATTCTAATGAGATTCTGGGAGGTAAGAAACTTCTCTATAAAAAAAAACGGCCGTACCCCTGACTGGTCCTATATGCTAACTTATATATCCCAGCCCGAGCGATTCAAGACCAGCTACTAAAAGATTTTTCGTCGAAATCGGAATTTTCAGACTGGTTTTCACGAGAGGAAATACCGCGACCACCGGCAATAGTGAAGCCTAACCCGCGGAATATCGAACACGAGGAAAAAATAGTAGCATTAGAAGAGAGGGTAAAACGGTATGTTCATACATCATTCACAAGACTTATAGTTTATAGCTACTAACAGGAGTTGAAGATTAAAAGCAGAAAAGCGAGCATGGCAATCCTTAAAACAACCGCCTCCAGAACTACCACCACTTTTCCCGTCATCAGATTCAAACTCTCAATCACTGCCATTACCCGACGCCTCCCTTCTCGACTCCGAAGAGGCCCAAATTCTCGCCACTCTCACCGACCCATCGACCGCCATAAAACCGCAGAAGATCCAATCCCGACTTCAAGCGCTCCAGAACTCTCTCGACTTTAGAATCGACCACCTGGCCGACAACGTGCAAAAACTAGAGCACCGGGTAAAGACGGGGGGACTGCAAGCAGACCGCGTGCTAGCACTCAGCGCAGCAAGGTTAAAGGAACGTGAGGAGAAGGAGAGGGCGAGCGCAGGAACCAAGGATATGCCAGTTATGGAAGTACTAAGGAGTCTAGGGAGGATATTGCCTCCAGAAACCGGAGGAGGGGGTTAAAGTCGTTTCGTCGACTTCCCGTGCCGCGTATATAGCGCGTACGCGTGTATGGAAAAGCAGTAAAAAGAGAGGAAAAAAAACAGATTATCAATTTTTTTTCACGTCCTCACGTCCGGGTTCTTGGTTTTTTTTTTTCGTCATCGAACAAACAAGGGAAATAGGTGGGATGAATGATTTGCGTTTACGGTTTGCGTTTGCGGCTTGGAAGATACCACATCGACTCGAACGAGGCGGGAAGGCGTTTTCCGTTTTTATTTTTATTGTTGTTGTTGTTCGTGCTGTTTTACTCTCTCTGGCATAGCTACGGCTACGAGCTACCTGGGCTTGGTAGCTTATGCGTGTGTAGGTAGCTAGCTCTGGCTGGGATCGGCGTCTGCGAGATGAGATAATGAATGATACTGCATTGCATTGCGTTGCGTTGGCCCGGTTTGCATTACGTTATATCGTATCGTATCGTATCGTATCGTATCGTATCGTATCGTATCGTATCGTATGGGGGGGTGAGATGGATATTTAGTGCTTTGATTGTTTGATAGATTTATTGGTTGGATGGGGTGGTGGTGGTGATGCATTAAGGGGTTGTCGAGTGTTTGGTATTGTTCGATCCCATATATATATGACTGTTTACGATTCATTTACTGTTGTGAGTGAGTAGATTCCTCTCCGGTGAGCCTTTTCTTGAGACAGTAGCTTGATGCGAGGATATGGCTAAGGTATAATAACTATGGTATATTTAAAAGCTATGACTCAATGATCTTTTAACACATACCCTCGAGTAGTAATGGTAGCTAGAAGAAACTTGAGTGGTTATGTTTAAATTAGGGGAGTCGTTGTGTTTAGTGAGAACTTCGAGATATGAACTAAGTTAGTCGTTACCTATATTATGTGCCAAGAGTAAGTGGTATGTTAGGTATATATATATTGAGACTTCAGTCAGCCTCATTCATCTCTAGGATATGTATATGCATATATGTATGTTTTCCTCAACACCAACTCATATAATCGTACACTAACTGTCATGACTGCCCACCATCATACATAGGTAGGTAGGTATTTTTATACGTTCCGTTTTATCTCATGCTCCCTATCATCTTAACACGATTAAATACATTAACACATGGAGCTTCTGCTGCCATAATTGGAAAGCTGTACTCCCCGCCTATCATGCTGAATAGGTGTTCATACCCTTCCCCTCTCTTCCTTTTCATCAAGTGAACAAAAGCCTACTAATTCCCCTTCATCGCAGCGAAGGCATAAACGCCATGCCGCCCCTCTCCTTCGACCGCGCCTTCACGTGCTCTCGTAGTAATAGTAACACTTCACTGTCGCGCCATCGCGCGGGTACAGGCCGATACGCCGGCTTAAAAGTCCCCACCGTCTGCGCCCACTCACCCGTCTCGGCCTGCGTGCGGTACGGCTCCGCCGATGCGGCGGCGGATTCCTTGTGGGACAAGTCGCCTGAGAGCGGGGCGCCGCCCGTGGTTAAGTGCTCCGGGGTAGTGGCGGTGGTAGTTGCTGGGCTGGAAGAAGTGGTGGTCGAAGAGTTGGTGTCTAGAGGCGTGGCTTCCGAGATGGCGGCTTCGGCGCCGCCGGCGTAGTCCGCGGAGCTGGTGTCTTGTGTTGCTATGGAGGGGGGCGCCTCGGAAGAAGAGGGGGTGTTGGAGGGGGAGTCCTGCGTCGCCCAGTAGTATATGTCCCAGTCGTTTTCGTCGAGGAAGCGGTCGTACTGCTCCATCTGCTCGCGGGTCATGGTGGGTAGGTACTCGTCCGCAAAGGTGGAGAGTAGAAGGTCTGATTCGAGTGTTCCGCGCTTACGGCTCTGGTCTATAGGTCGATGGGTTGTTAGTTAGTTGCGCTTGTACGATTGTGTATGTACGCGGTGGTAGATGTTCTATTGGAGATGCATTTATATATATATATATATATATAAATAGAAAATAGGATATAGGAAATAGGAAATAGGAAATAGTCAGGGTGGACTTACAGACTAGCCGGGCGCGCATAGTAGCGTCATCCTCGCCGACCCGGCGCATTGGCTCAACACGGAACTCAGTGCCCTCGAGCTCACCGACTCCAATATCTTGCGGGCCGCGCTGCTTGTGCGGCTCCATAGGCGGCGGGTTGTGTGCAAAGACATCGGCCCGCGCGGCACGGGTGCTGCTTAGTGGACGGCGGAGCAGGAAGAGCCGAACAGCTGCAGCGGAGGGCCTTTGAGCCGAGCGCAGGATAGCGCGCGGCAAGGCTACTGCTGCTACTGCTGATGCCATTGCGAGATTGAATCTTGTTTCTTATATACCAATGGATATATGATATTGTCGTTTTAACTTTTAACGGTTTCCTTTCCTTCACATCCCACTTACGTTAGAAGATCCGAAAACGCAGGACACTAAAATTCCAACTCAAAATCGGAATTTGAATGTTACAGCTGTATTAGTGGCAAATGAAGTTGTTTTTTATGAGTCGTTGACGTAAGTTTGTTTTTGGAAGCTTAAAAGCTTTAAGCTCGAGCTTTGTTAATTGAAGCTTTGTAATTCGCGGATCATATGAAAATTGCCGAGGCCGCAGGGCCGTAGGGCCGTCCCTTCCCACACGGCCGGTCTAAGGTGTGCCGGGACTACCCTTTCTACCTTTTCAAGGATGTCGCGCTTCCGTTCGTCTCCGATCTGATCTGCGCTACGGTACACAAGTACTACGTATATGTGCATGTCACTTTCGCATATGCATACCTAACATTATGTACGTCTAGGTACAATAAGATATATATATATTTACATTCTACGATTTCGTAAAATAGAAAACACAACAACTTTATAACCATTGAAGGATGGGAGACCCTTCTCGTCTCCTCTTAAAACTTGGATAGAACAGCAAATGGGAGAGAATATAAATAAAGAAAGAAAGAAAGAAAAGGCCTCCAGCCTCGAGACATGCGCTTTTCATCATAGCAAAGATGGCCATATCATTTGTTTTCCATTCGTCTCCCGACTCCAAGGCTAATAGTAGGAGACGTCTATACAGATTTATGAGTACAAAGCATGAAACATCGTATTTCATGACACCATATCCATTTTTCCTTCCTGAATTCGCGTCACGCCCTTGTCGCCTCCTCCTGAGTTCTGTAAAATCCGGGACTCCTTTACCACGACCATGCATTACTAAGGTAAAGGGGGTCTAGAGTAGTCTCAGTCCAAGCTGATCCAGCTAGGCACTATCTTTAATCGCATCAACAAGTTGAGAATCCCCTAAATCAGATGCTTCGACCGGAAGTAGGCGCGCAGGTACATGATCTGCCAGCCCCATAGCGCAACGAGCAGCAAGGTGGTGCCAATGCCGAACCACTTAACACGGGTGTTCGTGCTCTCGTTGGTATCGCGCAGCTTCTGCTCTCTCGCCCTAAGGTATTCCATCTCTCGTACGATGTCGGCGATCGTCTCCTCGATGCGGCGCAGGTCCGTCTCGACGGGCTTCAGCTTCTCGGTGGCTTGGATGGCGGACCAGTCCTTAGCGTCGGCACCGATGTCGATGTCCAGCTCTACATGTCGGCTGGGGTTGTTCATACGCGCTGGTTTGAATTGGTTAAGAGCTTTTCGAGGGTTGCTATCTTAGCCCTATCCTCACTCACTCACACTAGTAGAGTAGAAAGAAAAGACACTAGGGAAAGGGGAGAGACGTACTGTGCGTCATGATGTTTTCGAAGCATACGTCGAAGGCGGCGTCCGCGTGCGAGGTGAATACGGTACGTTGTTCGCCTACTACGTCTTTCGGCTTGCCGTACTCGTTGCCGACGTTATCCACGATCTACATCCCGTTCACACTCAGTGTCAGCTGCATCTGTTGGATACCTTTTTGGATATATAAGAAGGCCTTGGTAAAACATACGTGCATATTAACAATCATGCCATCTCCCTTGCTTCCACCGACCGTAGCGGTGACAACAACCAAAGTGTCCTTGGCCACGAAATTCCGTATGCATCGTTCTGTCTTCTTATCGTTGGGTCCACGCGCCACCAAGTCGAACTTCAAAGCATTTACGGATGCGATCAAGAGCATGAGACCGCAGATATACTGCAGCAATCCTCGTGGCAAAGCCATTGTGTGTTGGGGGGTATGTCGGCTTGTTTCTTCGTCTTGCGAAAGGAGGAAAGAGTCTCGAGGCTCTTACCAGAAGCTAACATTGGAACTTTAGGGATTTAGGGTGCGTCCATGTAACTTTGTACTTTGTAATAAAACGTGTTCAAGTGTTTTATCCAATCAAATGCTTTAAAGCTTAGCTTTCCCGTAGCCTTGCAGCTTAGAAGTCACGTGCATACTAGCCTTCTCAACATCAATTAGGTATCAATATCAATTCCAGCACCGGGAGTCTCCATTCTTTTTTGTCGCGTCCAAGCTCCTTTCTTTTTATAACTAGGTACCTAGGTACCTAACTACCAAATATACAAAGTACGAAGTACATAGGTATCTACCTAGGTTAGTATGTAACCTTAGCTTTCTTCCACGTCCGGCGGCAAACTCAATTTAAATCGCATTCTTCCCTCGACCTCAACCATCACCAATCTTTTACTATCACTAGATTGCAAATACAGGTTATACCGTCAAGATGCCGAAATGTATGTATACAAAATAACTCCTATTTTTCAATTTCTTGTATATTGTAATACTCTCTGTTCTAGAGACGCGACGCGATTGCTAACAACGTTCCATCAATAGTCTTCTGCGACTACTGCGACGTCTACCTTACCCACGACTCCATGAGCGTGCGCAAGGCCCACAACAGCGGTCGAAATCACCTGCGAAACGTCGTCGATTATTACCAGCAAATCGGACACGAGAAGGCCCAGTCCGTCATCGACTCCATCACATCCTCCTACGCCGCCGAAGGCCAGGCTCACGCCAATCCCATGCTGCCCCAAAACCAGCCCGGCGGCGCCGCGGCGGCGGCAGCAGCTGGATTCCCCGGAATGCCACCACCGCCCTTCAGCTTCCCCGGCGGTATGCCGCCTCCGCCTTTCCCCGGTATGCCTGCTGGCATGCCACCCCCGCCGGGCGCCGCGTTTCCCCAGGGCATGCCTCGTAAGTAGCTCCCTTATCCCATGTTGTCGCGTACTCCTCCGATGTGTTAAGACTTAAAACTCTAACGTGTGCAATGACAGCTCCGCCAGGCCAAGGTGGTAGAGGACTTCCACCGCCTCCCTTCGCAGCTGGACCCGGCGGCCTGCCCATCCCGCTCCCAGGCGCCGGTCTACCGTTCCCTCCGCCAGGTGGCTTGCCATTTCCTCCTCCGGGTGCAGCCGGCGGTAACGTGCCTCCCTTCCCGTTCCCCGGCATGCCCCCGCCAGGCCAAGGCTTCCCCGGTGGGCCCTCGCCGCCCGGCGCAGCTGGCGGCTTCCCGCCTCCCCCGGGAGCGCCCGGCCGTTAGGACCGCGCTGGTGCTGATATGAACCGCACCCTAGGGCTCGGAAAAGAACGAGAGGCGGGGATCAGTGGTGGTGGTGATGATGGTGAGGGACAGGATTCAGGTCAACGGCAGCAGCCCCTACCGCGACCGCCATCACTACCGCCGAAACCCGAAGTGGGAAAATCTCGGAATACCACTAGTCCTAGACGAGAGAAGGAGTGGGGATTTAAGCCATATTCTCGAAGATAACGAGGAAAAGAGAGCATGGGTTTGAGCATCTACATTGGAGAACCATCAAGACGACACTGTCAAGAAGAAAATTGAAGCGATCCCTCAAATAAGGTGTTCGCCTTTGTTCACCCACGCAGACTAGACACGGCAGAATCGTCCTGGCCACTTAAAGGGGGGGAAACTGTATAGTCCAATTAGACGACGGTAGAGAGCATGACAGGCGGATTACGCAAGGGAAGGAAATTGGGTAATGTGTTCGAGTCAATGGAACTTGGTTGCAAGGCAAGGCGTTAAAAGGGAAGATCGACTCAAGGTCTCTTTTGGTTTACTTCGTGGTTTTTTTTCCCTCTCCAGGCGGATATACCCTTTTGCCAGCCATTGTATTCTAAATTAGAATACGTATGGCCATAATGGACTAAAAATATTAAGGACAATTTGAAGGCACTTATTTAAACTGTGAGACGCGATGAAGTTATAATGCGATAGGATGAATTTGTGATTTGTTTTCTTGGTCTTTGCTATCTACCTAACATATCCCCCTCACTTCATTCACAATATAACCATATTAGCGTATCAGTAATAGCAGAAGAGTAGACGTGGTCAACACGAAAACGAAACCGAAAACGATAGCACGTAAGCACGATAAAAAGACAACACCAAACAAGCCTGCCCAAGGCCAAGTTTTGGAAAAAGTAAGAGGTAAACTCATCATCACTTGTTCAACAAGTTAGTATTCAGGTATTCGTATCAAATCTCTTTCCACTGGAATCCTAGCTCCAAGACGGGGGTAGTAGCATAGCAAAATAAAGTAAAACAAGACATCTCATCAACATCATTCCCAATCCATCCATCCATCCCTGCCTCCCTCCTTGACCCCCAATCATCCCCAAGCCCATCATGCTATTGGAAAGGGAAACAAAATCCTGTATCTCGTCCTTTTTTAAACATCCAGTTTCGTGTCATCAATAGGGGTAATCGGCCAAAGTCTCAAATCGTAGTATGGGGGAATATGATAGGGTCGTATTTTTCGTGGCTCGTATGCGTCGTAAAATGTAAATAGTAGGTTCGTCATTATTAGTGTTGTTGATTGGGGCGTTCGTGTCAGTAGTAGAAGTTGGAAGGTAAGGAAGACGGTAGAATATGGCACGGCAAGAGCAGAAGCGTGATAGATCACGAATTGAGAATTTGTCTTCGTTACCGTTTGATTGCATCCTCTTAAAAACTGACTCTCTAAAAGTCTATGACTCTTAGAAATCAGATGTAGACGGATCTGCGGTGCTGATGCGCCTGTGTTTGGTGTCGCTGGTAGTGTGTTGTCCCGTTCGCCTTCCCATTTGGCGCGAAAGTAGTCTGGTATGAAGGCCCCTTATAACTGTTGCGTTTGATGACTTCGCCTACGCCATCTCGGACTTCGCGCGGACCGCTTATTTTCTGCCGCAGAACCTCCGTGCGCTTCTGCCGGCGATGTTCACTTAATCTGCGCTGTAAGTTCTGCGGTCTGTATTGCTCCAACTTATCCTGCCAGTTAGGGAAGAGTCTGCGCCCTCGGTCGTCGACTCGTTTCTCAGCACCCCAAGCACGCCGGGCCTGCTGGTCGGGCGCGGTAGACGGCCGACCTTCAGCTTCATTTTCACGAGAATTGCGACGGCTGTTCCACTCCAGCTCCAGAGTGCTGTAGCTATCACGGTGTTTCATTACGCGGAGTCTGCCACTCGGTGTACGCTTGACGGTGCGACGTTCTGGACTACGCTGAGTGGGGACTGTGTAATGATCCTCGTCTTCGATGGGTAATATAGCGAATGTACGCTTCATTCGTTCGCTCAAGCTCCTACGACGAGCCGGACGACGGTCAATTGGGGGATATCTATAAAGCGTATCCACTTCTGCAGGAACATCATGTGCCCAATTGTCATAGTCGTATTCTTCGAGGTCATCATCAAACGTAGGTCGCCAGAATGGATGCAATTTTGACTCGTCAGGCGGCGGGTCTTCAGCCGTCGGGTATGGCTGCCTTGTAGTATTTCTATTCTTATCAAGGGTTGGGTTTTCTGTAATTTCTCTCTTAATTCCTTTTGAAAGAGACAGAGTCCGCGATAAGAACCCAGATGGACGAACATTGTCGGCGTTCTTGTGAAGACTAAAGGCGCGACGTACCAAGGAAGGTCGCTTTTGAGTCTCCTCGAAGTAATTACCCAGCATCTTTTCTTTTTCAGCGGCAGGTGTAAGTCCAGACGGCGTAGCTGGTATGAACTTGATCGTTGGCGGTTCGGGGGGAGCACGCGGATTTCTAAGAGGTGAATCCACATCATCCATCGAGAATTGATGTTGGGGAGGCGTCGCAGGTACACCATCGGGACCAGTAGCTATAATCTTAGGATTGTCTAAAACTTTCCCCGTTTCCGTAGCATATCCCGTCTGGGCAAATTCTGGCCCTTGTAACGCGTTTGCGGCGAGGGCAGGATCTACGGGTTTCGACATATGATGAACCATCAAAACGGATTTGTTTTGGTGCGGGTAAATACTCACAGCCATGGCTTCCGATATGTCTGCCACAGAGTGAGTCCCGTTTGTCTCGACGGATGCTTGGGAAAATGGGGTGTTGTGTGCAGTGAGGCGCTTGCCGAAGAACGGGTCCCCGTTATTATCTACAAGCGGTTTGTGGTCGTGGGGAGCATCCCTGTGTGACTCGACGGATGGAGTCGGTTCAAATTGTCTCTGATCGGGATGACTGCTCATATATTCGACGGGAGGTGCACGTTCCACTGTAACCTGAGGCAATTGGCGATGTTGCTGCTGCTGTTTGCTCTCCTGTTCCAAGAAAGCATCATGCGCCTTCAAGCTCTCTGCAGTTAACGATCCAGCTCGAGAACCAGCCCTGGATCCATTCCTGCTAGTCGGGGCCGAAAGAGATGATCTACGCATGGGAACGATTGGGGGGTAATCCATCGTTAATTCTTCCACCTGAACTAACCCTTCCGATTCCGACATCGATCTGCCCCTTCGGGAAGGTTTGTTAAAATAAGGCGTTAGGTCCTTCGTTTTATAACTTGACAGTGGTGCTGAACTAAGACTATTGCTTCTCCTAGAGTGGTGACTACCTGTAGACCTAAGCGATGTCGGCCCGGTGGCCTTGATAGAAGTTCTGCGTTCAGGAATGACCACGACGGGAATTCCTCCATTCTTCCATACTTCCCGCCGGGCTTTACGGCTAGCAATAGAGTTGACCGTACCTGTAGACGCGAGGCTTTCTGACCGGACAGTACCATCAATTACCGTCCTAGCAGCTCTTGCGCGCTGAGAAATTTCCGTCTGGCGAAGCGACGTGTTCAATGATGTATTCGCTGAGGAGCTTGACGGTGAAATCTCGGAGCTAGAATCCCTTAGAGCCGGTTGCTTCCTGACGTGTCGCAACGTTTTGCGCCTCTGAGGAGGAGTCCCAACTAAAATAGCTTCCACCACTGTAGATGCCGTAGACTTCGAGGACATGCCGGAGGACCGCTTAACATCGGTGCTTACCGAGGACTCGGAAGTAGATGGTGCGGTCCAACCCTTTTCCTTGCTTGCAGATTCCACCGGTGGTGAGGGATGCGTATGCAATCGATCCGATAGGGGCATCGACCTTAGAGCCTTTGTTGCGTTGGTCGGAGTCACTGTCACGTCCTCAACCACTTCTGCTTTTGACCCATTAACTCTCGCTTGGACACGTCGCTTCTCCACTTTGACATTCCTCTCATATTTATGGTCCCATTCCTGCTCAATCGAGCTGGCAGATCCCCATTCACCGTCAAAAGCTGAAAATTCTCCTTTCGTCCTTGGTGTCAGATTATCGTCCGACTCGAGACCTAACCCTAGCCCTACTTCCGGGCCTTTCTTCTGCCGCGCGTCAATCAAACGTCTTGCTACAACCTGAGCCGTCTTAGTTGAGGACAATACCGCCCGGGGCGTCAACTTGTCATCTTCCTCTGAAGAATCTATATTCTCTCGTGCTGTTGTGAAAGACTCCGAACGAGAACCTGTAGCCTTGGATGGAATGCGATCCGCTAGAACGGGGGGTGGAGGTCTCGATCGACGCTCGGCTTGGGGAGGGGTGACGTCTGGAGTAGGCGGACTCGCTTGATGCGGTGGAGTTCTCGGCGTTGTACTCACAGAGGTGTTGGCAGCGTTTTGCACCGGAGTGCCGACGTATGTTGGACTCGAGGGCTGGATTAAGTGATTACCAGATGAGATGCGCGAATGCGCCGGTGGGGTGGGAGGAAGAACAGGACCAAGCCCAGGCGCTTTGACACTAGGACTCTCGTCGTGGCTCAGGCTCGGTGGAGCAGATGATTCTTCTTCCTTGACATGCGACTCCAGGATTGACGTTAGATCGATAGACAGGTCACGAGAATGTCGATTCCTAACCGTCGACTCAGGCCGACCATTTCTAGGATGCGGAAGTACCTTATGCTTCTTGAATGCTCCTTCGCTAGGCTTACCAAGAGTAGGGCGATCAGACAGAGGCTCGAAGTAGAGATTTGTCGATGCCGGGGGCGGGACGGTTTTAGTAGAAGCGAGCATTGTTGTGCGGGATGGCATGCTATCTATCATTGTTGCCGACTCTTGCAAAGTCTTGCAAGGTCTTGCAAGGTCTTGCAAAGCCTACTTAACGGGGTTGCACCAAACCAGTCTTATCCTTCTCATCGTAAGAAAATGGGGTGGTTTGGGGCTGAGCAAGATACGCTGTTTTAAAAAAATGAGCTTGCAGTGCGTGTCCGAAACCTTTTTGAAGGTGATTCTCTATCGTCTGCAAGCCCCCTACGCGATGCAGAAGCAGAAGCAGGCAACTCTCGTGGTCCCTAAAAGGGTCGACCTGCCTGGCTCCTGATAAAAATGTACCGTGCCGATTATTGGACCACTCACAGTGACCAAAACTGGGTTGGAGACCTGATCGAAGGTGAAATCCTTAGGACCTTGCAGCGCATGGTACAAAAAGCAAGGTATCTAAGCGTTGGCCATTGGATGATATTTTTGGGAGGCATGAAAGAAGGAGTAAAGATATATGAACAGATATATTGAGGAATAATATGATATGGCTTGCGACACCAACGAGATTGCTCAAATTATGGGCGGTACCAATTCTTGCGTATTCTATGTGTGCGTGCCTAGGTAATGAAAGGAATCTTGGGACAAAAGAAAAGAAGGGTTGCGCAAAGTTACTAGGTATACTATTAGATATTAGAGAGGTGTACGTAGAGAGGTGTACGTATGTATGAGGTAGGTACTTCCTCGGCGGCTACAGACTAGAATAAACGACTTTTGATTGAGTGCAGGTGATAAAAGGTGGACGATGTCGGGAGTCTTTCGCGGCTTCCAATCTTCCAACTTTCCTAGGTACTTCCAATGATAGACAAGAGTAGGCTCGGTGGACTTCGAGGGAACACCGTCAGAGAATTTATTAGGTACCTGTTAACGTTCCCGCCTGCCGCCTGCCTCCTACCTCCTACCTCCAGCTTCCAAGTTCTAAATAAATTCGGAGTCGGGGGCTGGGAAAGCCGCCCCATCTAACCTTAGTTGGCTACCCTAATCCTGGAAACTTCGCTAGATTGTGCTACATAACGTCAAGTGCACATGTAATGATATAAGCAATTAACATTGACAACTTCCCGGATAGGCGTAGCCACTTTTTAGATTTTTATGTAGGTGCTTTCGATCTTACTTTTCGTCTTCGGAGAACACAGGCGGGCATCCACTCCAATAGTACAATAGTACAATTTACAACACCTACGTAGGTACCTAGGTACCTAACATACCAACTAGTGTAAACCCCGACATCTATGAGACCTAACATCTATGATTCCATATGCAACTCATGCAACTCCATCTGGACCCGGCTGGTTACATTAGATATTTCGTACATGACCCACCAAGTCTTTGAATCTCTCTATCTCAGAGCGGCGCGCGTCCTTACGCATCACGGAGAGACGTAGGCGGATTTGCTTCCAGCCACCCACCAGAGACGAGTAGGTTACGTTGTATCAATGCGGGAGGTGTTCTTCATCTGTCGTGCTTCTCCCCAATCTGCACCTCTGAGTGGATAACGCCCATCTGCTGCAGCCATTCAAGTCACCAGGACAAATGGGCTTCTCGAACTGCACAAGGCTGTTCGGCCTCATGCTGGACCTGCCTAGCTTGCAGCCCACCCAAAGCGAATCAGAATCCGCAACACCCATCACCCTAGGTCGACGTGCGACTTCGCCGTAGTCTGAGTCCCAACAGGGTCAAAGCCCGGGTTGGCATTTCCACACTTCTCAGAGCAACGAGTGAGGGTGCGACGTTCTAGGCGCGGACTGGAACCACATAGCTCTTCCTCCCTAATCTATACAAGTCGCAACAATATTTAACAAGGCACGATAGTCATAGTCATAGTCAAATAAAAGGGATCACAAAATCTCATTATGACGAAATTCCCAAGAATCCGGCAACGGTGGGGGGGCATAGGAGCGTCGGAAAAATAAATGATAAGCCGTGTCTCTTAGCCATGGCTCCTGCTCCTATGTGGCTATAACTGGGACTCGCGGCCGCAGAGTCGAGGCCACAGATGTAAATTGGCAAATCCTATTCAGCAAATACCTCACTGTTGTGCAAAGGAGCGTGTAGCAGTGTGGGGGGGTAAACCCCCTTTCTCACGGTCGAGACAGTTCATTAAGAAACACAAATCGGGCTGAAGCCATACGATTCAAAGAAGAAAACATGGAAGTTAAATTTGAAACGAACCCTTCGCCTCCTTGCTTATCATCATGCAGATACATAAACATTACCTACATATACTAAAGACTTTTGCAGACAGTATGTTCTTATCTTAATCTTATTACGTCGGCCTTGGAGGGGAAGTAGCCGACTCGGCAGTTAAAAAGACCTTGCCTATCTCTTCGCCAAATCCGTCTAGTCTACCACGTGGAATTACCATTTTTGGTCTTCTATCCAGAAACTATCCAGAAAAGAGACAATCACATTTCACGATCGGGAACCTATATAAAAACGGCCGGCTGCTCGATCGCCCGTCTCACTCCCGCTTAATAAAGTGCGTTTCGTCCAGCACGCCGGCTAGGATATACAAACTATAACAGGAGGAGATAATACTGGATACGCTGGCGCAAGTTCGTATCTAGCCAGTATACTCACATTACTAAGATCTTTAGGTAGGTAGCCATTGAAGCTTTATCTAGTGGTCCCCCGCATTCAGGTGCAATGTCATCAGCGCATTGCGGTTGCGGACAATTCCGACTGGATACTTACCTAAAAAGGAAGAGTTCGATGACATCTTCTCTATGCAAGTTGAGCATCAACGTCCAGTCGAGATGGGTCTCTCCCGACCAATATCCTAATCTCAGTGGTTCAGGATTACTAGTGATAAGCCCATTACACTAGTCAAAGCTCTGTTGTCATTACAAAAATTAAAATTAATGGTAGAATTGATAATTGATAGCAGAATTGATAGCAGTCTTTTACCAATCCGAATGACAGAAGATCACCCTCGCGGTAAGATAAATACCAAATACCTACCTAGGTATATATAGTTATATACTACTCTGCCATAACATCGATAGAATATAATTAGAACTTCTCCGTCTACCAATTGTGCTTCAAGGAGAGACAATTGCTTTTTCAAAATGTTGACGGCTCTCTTTGTTCTTAATTCCCTAGCTTTTGCTGCCGCTCATGGCACTCACGATGACCAGAAAACTCTCTCTGGGCCGCATCAGTCCTTGTGGTACAATGTTCTGCCTGGGGATGGTGGAACGCAGGTCAGATATTAACACGAAGAGTTAACTTTCCGGGTAGCTAAATATCTACTGTAGGCCGACTCGGTATTCTCTGGGATCTCTACCTTTGGGCGCTTGCCATACCAAGCTTGCTTAGGCCACGAGGAGATAGATTATGATCTTGCATTCATAGGTCCGTTAAATTTCTCACCCTAGCAGCTAAATATCCAAGCTGATAAGTCAAAGGGGCACCATTCGATACTGGCACGTCGTACCGGCCCGGTGCTCGGTTCGGTCCCTCGGGAATTCGTCAGGGATCTCGACGTCTCAACCTCTAGTAAACCTCCATTGATATAGACACAATTATGCTCATACGGCCTGCTGACCTAAAATAAAGCGGAGGATACAATGTACCCTTAGCCACAAATCCATTGGTATGTATGAAAATACCCCGTATTGTTATTTTCAGCCCCCTTTCTAGAATTGTCTCAAAATACAGTGGCTAACGTTGAGTAGTAAGTGTGATGACACTATCGTTTCAACTCACTCGAACATAGTGAAAATTCTACAATTGTAGGGTTGCAAAGCTGACACGAAATGTTTTCATACATTAGTAATGGATGGGCGAAGGTCCTTGACTGTGGCGATATCCCAGTGACATCGTATGGCTCAAACTCTCTACCCCTTGAAGATATTCCTACATATAAGACTAATCAAGTTATAGTTATGACAACACCTGGGCTCTGAAGCAAATCGAAGAGGGCCACTACAACATCTTATCTCGAGCCCCAAAGACGGCTGCAGACAAGCCTGGGCCAGCTAAAAAGGGGAAAACTCTACCACGAGTCATCACTCTTGGTGGTGACCACACCATCACCCTCCCTTTACTCCGCTCGATCAACCGAGCATACGGTCCCGTAACAGTCATCCACTTCGATAGCCATCTAGACACCTGTAAGTCGCTACCACCTCTCCCCCCAAATATTTACGCCCAACAACAGTCTAACTCATATACCCCCTTGCTCCTAAATAGGGCGCCCCAAAGTCTTCGGCGGCTCCCCTTCCGAGGTCGCAAGCATCAACCACGGAACATACTTCTACCACGCGGCACAGGAGGGCCTGCTCGCCAACGACACTAACATCCACGCGGGTATCCGCACCACGCTCAGCGGGCCCAGCGACTACGAGAACGACGGGTACTGCGGCTTCGAGATCGTCGAGGCCCGTGAGATCGACCAAATCGGCGCCGAAGGCATCATCAAGAAGATCGTGGAGCGCGTCGGCACGACCAACCCCGTCTACTTGTCCCTCGACATCGATACCTTGGACCCGGCCTTTGCGCCGGCTACGGGGACTCCGGAGACGGGTGGCTGGAGCACTAGGGAGCTGCGCACGATTTTGAGGGGCTTGGAGCATGTTAATCTGATTGGCGCGGATATCGTCGAGGTTGCCGTAAGTTCTATGATTGGTGATAAACTGGGTTGTGAAAGTGGATTTGCTAAAAACTTGTCTATCTAGCCTGCTTATGACACGAATGCCGAGCACACCACGATGGCGGCAGCCGATGCTTTATACGAAATCATGAGCATCATGTTAAAAAAGGGGCCGTTGAGCAACATGGTCTCTGCCGGTTCTGAGGAAGAGCTATGAGCTTTCCTACGCGTTCCCGTAGACGCTGATTTAAGGATTGGTTGTTTCTGGGGATATCTAGGGCTGGCTACTGGGTGCGAGCAGTAGCTCTTTAAAGGGGGCGTGTGTGTGTTACGAAGTATCTAATACAACTTGTATCCATGTCATGGAGTTGATTTCAAGGGGAGTGCCATGTGCCGTCCGAGAACATGTGCATAGAGTACACGTCGCGTGTAGACAATTCTCTTTTGAATTGCACGTTCGCGGGAAATATTTAGACTGTAAAAGCGCGTGCTCTATCAATCTACGGCACCATTTAAAAACATTTAGTACAGCGGTTTAATCCCGGATTTAGGGCACATATAAAGTGAAGCATTTACATTCGAATCTATGGAGGGGGGTGCAATGTTTGACCATTTTGTCTTTTTTATCAACTTATTTTTTTTGTGCAACGAAAAAATAAATCTTTTCTTTTCTTTAACAAAAACGTATCGTATTATATGATATAAAAGAAAATTCCTATGTTTTATTCTCAGCTACCGAAGCAACATATAAGGAGTCGGGGAAAGGAATGGTGTTCTGCTCGCATTAGATGGCTCTTCGCGCCACCTTTGCTTGAGCATCCAGATAACGATGTGATCGTTACCTAATGGAATAGAATAACTACCTAATGTACTTGTGGGACTTGATCTTTTGCCAGTCTAACACGCTTCCATGACGCATTTGATATCTGGAGGACCCATTGTATCTATCCCCCGACAGAAGAAATACCTTCTTACTAAAGGAGGAGGTAGTTGAATACAATTCTCTTCGTTATCCATATAACGAGATGTTGGTTGTATTCCGAGTTTGTAAAAAGTCAACAATATCACCTAGTACCAATTATTCATCTATAACACTTGCGATTATGTATTACATTGTAGATAGTAGCTAAAACGCCACATTGTATATAAAACACCAAATTTGCTTGATCTGATAGATCATAAGGGTATCTAACGCCCATGCTTATCCTAACCTCCTCCTGTAAGCTCTCATATCCAGGTCCTTGTGTCCAAGTAATAATTCTTGGCTGCTGACTCGATGCAAACAGGTATCCAAAAGGCGGTTCCAACGCCACCTCCTTAGTTTTGACCTCCTCGTCTACTCGATGGGATAGTTGGGCATTGCTGTATGAAGACGGCCTCTTGTGAGAACCGGAGCCCAGGACATCCTTCTTCTTGCTCTAGGTGGAGGGTCCTCACCCAGACAATGCCGGTGTCTCGGTCGAGCCCCTGGCTAATCAAGGGCTGGCAGCGTAGGAACCGGGCCCCGTGCACAAGCTTGTGCGCCAAGCAGACGTAGACCTGGACTTCACACATCCTTAATGTATTTCCTGGAAGTTGATATTGGTAACATGGTCATTATTTATGGGGTTGGGTGTTCTCACCTTTATGGTGTTCAAAGAACCTTATTGATGTTGTGTTTTGGGGGTATTGGCGTACTGCTTGATGTATTGGAAACGCTTGTTACTGTGTTAAACAGATTGGCTTGAGCTGATATCTCTTGGTGGCGGTTTTCTAAGAATGCTGGGAGTAGAAGACCTTGTTCGAGTTGCTTGATGAACTAGTTGAGACTGAACGCATTTACCTCCATGCCGATATCACTTGAATATATATACTTTTCCATATCCCAGAGGTTAACAAAGTGAGAATAATGTAGTCTTTTCCTCTGTATGGATTCCAAGCTCTTCACAGTTTTGGGGAGAGATAGAGAAGCGTCGTATATAGGAAGCGAGTAGTTCATAACTGTCACCATGCCTAAAAGAGATCTTAAGGTGTTCATACTGATATTGATAGAAACCCCATCTATTGTCTTTACTGTGATATTGATCCACAAAGAATACCTTCTAAAGACTTGCTTCTCCCACTGTAGAATACTTTAGATGCATACTCCTTATTGGCACAATAGACCGATTTTAGCTTGGGGCACTTACAATATGGCTTTAACGCCAGCTTGCCATCTGTATGGCTGCAGTGCTTGCCGTTTGCATGACCTCGTCACTCAAAAAGATACGTAATTATTTTATTTCCATTCAAAGTGGGCCGTTCTAGAGGCCAGTCTATTTGCAACTGGCCTAACGCGATCTTATGGTTTTATCGCACTTCTAAGAGCATTTTGCCGACTTTACTCACTGTTCATGGTTGCTCCCAGCTTCTCTCAAAATTATTCTCTACTTAGACGGTGTGCTTCTCATTTGTGCGGCCTGGACTAGAATCAAACATCGTCGACATTGTTAACATTGTAACTTATTGATGCTCGCGATTTCGCTGCCCATTGTCTTTCAGGATGCTTGCTATGGGGAATAATTTGTTCATATTGCACTTATAAGCAATTGTTAATAGCTATACTAGTTGAAATATCCATTCAACAAGTATTGTCTATTGGTAATAGGGGCTTGTATATACCAATAGCGACGGCTACCCCACTACTGAATGATATGTCGTGGTGTCAGACAGAGTCGAGCTCGCATTATCCGAGGTGAAAACGGTGGTCGCAATTGGGCTCATTGGACTAATAGCATGGAAAAGAGACCCGGACCAATTAGGACCAAGCCGGACAAGTCCCTGGCAGCCCCATAGCCGTGGGCCAGTGTTTTAAGTCCTGTTGGATTCGCACCGTTTAGATATGATAAGTCGTCAACTGCCAGATGTCAGGCTTATTGACGGAAGATAAAATGGCCTGAGTTTATAGTTTCTAGGTTAGCAAGTTGACGGTTACGTGCATAACCCCTCGAGGTTGTAGCCACACGTTCTCGGCCCCATCCCGGTGTGGTTGTCCGCTGTCCTGGTGTTGTGGTGCATAGCTGGGGAAGAGTGTGTAGTGGCGGAGCTGGGTGAGTTGATAAATTTAGACTCCAGTGACGTCAATTAATGTGAGGCGGCTTGATAGCTGGGGATGCCCGGAAGCTCCGACAGAGACTTGATTTTACCGACAGTTTAAACGGGATCCAGCAATCATGACTTCACTGACGAGTTCAACCGTTTCATTTCGGCACATAAACTTTTTAGAAACGGGGCGACGGCTTCGCTCCGCATGTAGTATTATACTACAGCCATTAAGTATGCAATAATGATGCTCAACTACATCTTGGGAGTGGGCAGGACACCACCAAGTAGAAGGGGAGCATACCAAATGATGCACTATACACCCACGATACGTACAAAAATAGAGACAGATAACCTCGGAGCTACCAACCACCAGGTGGCTGGGAAACCCGATAACCTCTTCGTGTATGTGGGCGAATCGATTTAGAAGCCTTGGTTAAGAATTCTCAAGAGGTAATTTTGAGGTCGTAATTGAGTGGCTAGGAATCTCAGATGATGTCAGCCACAACCGAATTGTTCCTTGATTCGGCCCCCCATGGCAAGTGATTAGCCAGATGTGGCGTTGTTCACCTATGGGTTACCTCCATCAGCCTCCTCTGTTCCACTTCACAGCCGCCATCGCCCACCTTTTCCTTGGTTATCGATAGCTAGTGGAGCTAGTGGGAGTGGCGGTAGTGTGACATCCAGCCATTGTGAGACATACACTTCAACCTAAACTGAGCAACTTTTGTGTGTGTATGTAGAAACGTCAACCCTCGATACGCGTGTCGTTGGAATACCCCGAGATGGCCCGCAAAATGCCAGGCGCATGTCTACAGAGTCTTAGTTGCCTATATGCATGCGTAAGCGGAATTCAAGGTAAAGTTTGTTAATAGAGCTTGGCTGTACCTTTTCCCTTCCAGTCTCTCGCAGCCAAAGCAGTTATATAAGTGACTCGATCAAGCATCCCTTTATCCGGTCCTAACCACTCGTTCATTACATACATATACGAGTACTTCTATTTTAGACAATCACTTGCGACTCCTAAGGTATATAGAGTCTAGTTAACTGTTCTAAGTCTTCTTTCTACATTAATAGCCAACATCCTCGGACCCCATTTCTTACGTTTATAACCCAGTTCACTACCAACAGCTTAACATCCACCAAAATGAAGGTCTTCACAGTTCTTACGCTCTTGGCGGCTACTGCCGTAGTAGCTCAGACGGATGCCCAGACGGATACCCAGACGGATACTCAGACTAATAGCCAAGATGCTACGGCTGTAACCGCGACTGGTACGGCCGTCGCCCGCGCGACTAGCGATGGCACAGATGCTACCGCTAGCAGTAGCGCAAGCGACGCTGCTATCAGCTCAGGCACAGACGTTGCTAACAGTGCTGTCAGCAGTGCTACTGATAGCGTTGAGACCGGAGTTAGCAGCGCTGACGCTGACGCTGACGCTAGCGCTACTAGCGATGCAGTTGCAGAAACCACGGGCAGCGATGCCGTTGTTGCTACCGGCGCCAGCGACGCTACATCTCCTACCATTATCGTTGCTCCCCAGAGCACAACTGATACGGGATCCTCTGCCGTGGTAGAAACCGACACCGCCAGCACTACCGCTGCCCAGGAAGCAGGTACCACTGTCGTGGTTGGAACAGGATCGGTTGGAACCGCATCAGCCGCATCAGGAACGGCTGGAACGGCTGGGACTGGTGTTGCCTCTGCATCCTTAAGCTCAGGATCGGGTGTTAATGATACTTTCGCGACCAGCGTTACCGATAGCGGAGAGGCTACTGCCACTCCATCCGGCCCTACTACGACTTTCGACATCGGCGACTCTGATGCTTCAAGCTCAACTGTCGTGCCGGATGCCGGCGCCGGCGCCACATTCGGAGCCGGCTCTAACAGCATGTTAGCTCTTGTCGCTCTAGCTGCGGCCGTCCTGTTGTTCTAGACGACGTGCGCAACTGGTCCGGACCGAATAAGTTCGGATGTGTGCATGGCATCTATATGCCGCATAAGCCTATCGCTGGATAACCGGAAGATCTTCTATCTATCTGTTTATTATATGCCCTTTTAAATACTTCGATTCGTTATCTGTTCGCGCTCGCCGAGTTAACCAGGCTGGCCCTCGGAAGGCTGGACGGCTTGGCTGCTTTTGGTCGTTACTGATCTTACTATGATTTTAATCGTTTTAATCTGTTTTGGAACGCCGGGAACAAAAACTATGGGTGGATGGTAGGGGGACAGCGGTCTTGGACGGTTCATTGGGCCCGACCCGGCACGGTAATTCCAGCATCGGAAAGGCGTTGCGGCAACCATGCTCTGTATAAGCTTGTAATTGAACTAGACGTTGCACTTGGGCAACACCGATTCCCCGCACAGATACTCGCAAGCCGTGGCTTAGAAGACGAAGCTGGCTAAGTAGGTAGCGTGCATACTTGAGAAACAGGAGACATAGCTAGCCATTACATAGAGTTGAGCTGCTTTGGTTGGTTTAATTGGGCAAAGTATCTAGGTTAATAGTTTAACGCAATAAAAATCGTTGATATTTGTACATTTGAGTATTATATTAACGAAAGTTTTCGATATAGCTGTTCTATGTCTTAAGTGTTTCGACAACGCAACGATTAGCTACCAGTTGCAAAGTACGCAGTCCCATCTAGATATCTACCACAGGTATACTACTTATCACTACCAGACATCATGGCTTTACTGTCCTCAAGTGTTTATTCTTAAGGGATGAAGGGATTGGTAGTTAACTGATAATATTTCTATTTTGTATCAACTATTCTTGTAAACCCTACCGACGTAACAGACTGCAAACCTGATGCAAGAATCAAATCGAAGCAATAAACAGTTCTTGTCTAATAGTAAAACATGCTACCAACTCCGTCCCATGCAAGATGCAAGATGCAAGATGCAAAAAAATAATGGCTTCGCAACGCTGCGCTCGTCGTCGATCTATATGCAGGACCCCCCCCCCCCCCCCCCTTTTTTTTTTTTTGTTTAGGCTGGGTGGGTATATTCGTCTCTTCTCTTTCATCTGTCATATCTCATACTGCAGCTTCATACTCAAATTTCATCGTCTTGTTCTGGCTGGCTGGCTGGCTGGCTGGCTGGCTATCCGCCCCCTATATCCAAACCAAAGCAGAGCCCACACCTACGACCCAAGCCAACACCAGCACATGCGCAACCCCACCTCTGCTCGGCGCCGCGTTGGGCAACTCCTTCTGCACCGTCGCCGTCGCCGTGCTCGTCGATATCGTGCAGCTTGCCGCGCCGCAGGCATACCCCGAGGGACAGCACCCGGCGACGGGCCCAGCGTCGTCGCCGCCGCAGAGAAACCAGCCCGAGGCGCATGTCGCGGTGGGCTGCGCGCCCGCGGCTGCTTGCGCGTCGGACGCGGGCACCGCGATGGTGACGCCGCCGCCGGAGAGTATCGTCGTCATGGGCGGGGGCGCCGGGCACGACGTCGTGCTGCAGTCGCGCCCGGTGCGGCAGCATCCGCCGCTGCCTTCGCGGGCGACGCATGCGTAGAACCCGGTTGGGCAGTAGGATGGGGAGGGGGAGGTGGTTGTTGAGGAAGACGAGGAGGTGCCGCTTGTGGGTCGGTAGGGCGGGATGCCGCCTGTTGCTGTGGTAGAACTGGGAGAGGCGGGAGTCGCGCTTGCGGTGGTGGTCTGCGTGGTGGTGCTAAGGACGGGGGCGCCGCCGCCGGGAGGTGTGACGGTTATGACTACGGTTATGACTTGCGTCGAGGCGGAGGGGGTTGCGGCTACGGTGGTGGATGTTACGGTTGTTTGGGTGATGACGGAGACGGTGCTGTGGACGCCTGGATGTTTGGTTGGGTCATGTTAGCGCTATCTGTCTACTTCTGTCTACTTCTTCTGTACCTAGGTAGGCTTAAGAATCAAGGAGGTAGGTAAATAGGAAGACTTACACCCGACATCAGCACACACGAACCCAGAGATGCAGCACCCGCCCCCTTGGTTCGCCGGGCAGGACGAAGACCCATCTGAACATTGTCCCACGGTCACGCCGCACGTCTGGCCGTCGGGACAGCATCCCACGTTCCCGGCGTCGGGGGCGTTCGTCACGACGAAGCACTTGGTCCCCTGGGTGCAGCAGTAATTCGGCTGGTCGATGTTCTCGCAGCTATGCGTGTTTTCGGGACACGCGAACTGGCGGCCTTGCAGCTTGGCTAGGACGTCGCGCGCACGGTTATACAGGGACGGTCCTGAGTCTTCTACCCTTCCTCTTATCCCAGCTCTATGGTAGTCGTAGTGCAGCGGGTACGGCGGACGAAACGGGATGGCGGCAGAGCTGTGTCCGGCAAGCAGGAGCTCTTCATCTTCGTCGCGGGGCTGTAGTGGTGCTGGCGCGAAGGCGTAGTACTCTGGTAAGAACATCTCGCCCTCGTCTAGCGACATCTTCCGGATTGCTGTCGGATGCTGCTGCTGCTGCTGCTGCTGCGCGCGGAGCTGGGTCGCGACGGTAAGGAGGACGAGGAGCGAGTGCGGGAGGCGGCTGAGCATTGTGTTGGAGAGGTGCATTTCCGGGTTGGGTACATATGAAGGTTCGCCGTCTTGAGTATCGGTAGTTGTAAGGAGAGTCCTCTAGGTTAACCAAATACATAACCGTCAGTTGTCCGTAGACATCTGGGCCGATGATAATTCGCGGATAGAGTTACACGTCTTTCGAAGTCGTGCGACAGCACCGGTAGCTGTCAGTTTGACTTGACAGCCGAAATAATTGGATTAGATGAACCGCCTTGGGATGTTGGTCTTGTGCTATTCGACAAGTAATATTCCTATTATTCCGTCGGTAAGGCTGTTTAATAAGAAAGGGGATTATTTTCGGATGGGACTTGAAAAGGATTACCTATCGTTTTCTCGGACCCAGTAACAAACAGCAACAACAACAAGCTCAACAGGGGTTGTTGGCCCTGTTGGCCCAGTTGGCCCAGCTGGGACCTCAGCTTATAAGGGATCGACATGGGTCTATCCGAGTTCCGTCTTTGACAACACATCGATGCTGTATTCACAATTTCTTATTATCGGCTTAAAAAAAACTCTCAGGTGTAATAAATCTAGATGATTGCTCTCCCAAGCACATGGTAGGAAACGCTCTAGAACTCCAGGTCCCTGCATACGATCGACCGTTTTTATATCTAAGGGCTAAACGTAAACTCGTGCACACTGCCTATACACCTGCATGGCCTGCAAAAGAGACAGCTTTGGAACAATAAAAAGACTCGATACTATTTCATCGCTTAGGGTTGATCATTGGAATCTTTTATTTTGAGCGGAGTAGTTGCATAGGTAGGTATACAGCTGCTCCCGTATCTAATTGAACTCACTGCAGAGAATTCTCTCTGTACCTAACCTACCTAATGTATGAGGTATGTTCTAAGTATAGGGTTGAAGTTATCCCGTCGCCTCATTCCTCGTGCATATGCCTAAGAACCCAGTCCATAAAATCGGGGTTGTCTCGTCAAGACATCCCATCCCTATAGTACATGATAGTCATACAAATGTCTCATGAACATTAGGCATTACCACAATTTATCAGATTCATTATCCAATTTTCCTCCAGAAAACTGGCTCTTCAAGAAAGCGGAGCAGAGAATGGCCGTTGCGACGCTGACGTTCAGACTCTCTACCATGGTAGATCCAGAATGGTTCGGAATTGAGATTTCGAAGTCTGCTATCCGTCTCGTCTTTTTGTCAAGCCCCTCACCTTCGCTTCCGACGATTAGGATTGTAGGCTCGGCCGACAATGGGTCGTAGGTATCTAGTCTGTCCAACGTGATGTTCTTACTTTCCCTAGGTCGACCGGTCGGCGCTACGGCGGCATAAACAACCCAGCCAGCCTCCTTAGACTTGGTAAGAAAATCGAGCATGGAACTGATTGAAAATAGTTGTGTGACCTCGGATGCACCAACGGATGCCTTCACGGCTACAGATGTCAGAGTAGCCGTGTGGCCTTTTGTAATCCCAACAGCGTTGACTCCTAGAAATGCTGCCGATCGTAAGATAGCGCCCAAGTTCCCCGGATCCTGGACGCCGTCTAATAATAGAACAAACGGTTTACGGTTGAGTGGAAGGACGTATTTGACAAAGTTGGAGGTACCATTAACTTGGGCTTCTTCGGCGGTCTGGTGACCCAGTTCGAGAGTAAAGCCGGTGGCCGGCTCTTTGGTTAGCGGACCAAGGTTCCTGACTGGTAGCTGTGGCAATGGAGAAGCTTCGAGGATAAAACCATTGTGAGGTCGACCCTCGCTCATCTTATCCATCATGCGTAGGCCAGCAGTGTCTTCTACTCTCTCGACAGGGATGCCAGCTTGGCTTGCCTTTCTCTCCAAGCCAGCACTTCGAGCAATAAGCTGTGGGCTATCCCCATAGTATAGATAGAGTTTGTAAATTTGCCGCCGCGTTTCCTTCAGAGCAGCTTCAACTATCGAGTAGCCATACAAGAACTGTGATGCCGCAGTGGTACGTGGAATGCGAACGGGTGCATCCTTTGGCAGGCTGGGGCGGAACGATGTTTGCTCATCCTCACTGGCTCCTTGCCGTTCTGTTGGAGGTTGAGAATCACGGTCCCACCGTTGAAATCCCGGGGTAGTCTCTCTGTCCCAAGTTGATTGATAAGGCTTCCTGGTTTTGGCTGAACCCCTTTGTTCCCACGGCGCCGGTATTTTGCGAGGCTTGTCGAAACGGGGTGGGTACCGTGATGTTTCCCTGAATGATTCGGTTCGAGTAGATCTATAAGCTCCTCGCTCATTTGGTTCTCTCCTAGGTGGCCGTTCCGAACCGAACCGAGATGATGAATGTGGGTTTTCTGACTTGTATGGTGTATAACTCCGAGGTCCTTTTCTGTTGGCTCCCGTAGTCCCTGGACCCGAATTGAAATCCTTCATAAACTGAGCCTTTGACAGTCCACTATCTCTTTCATTATGGGTAGATCTTTCCTTGTTTTTTAGTTGATATACTAAACTTTTCTTCCCGAATGATTCCTTTGGATCATAGAAACGTGCTGCTCTCGACTTTGGTTCTGGACCCTTGTATGTAATGTCCTTTTTGCCTTTCGTAACTTTGAAGGATGGATTTTCTTGACGACTATCCCTTCCATACCGATCTGTCCTGCCTGGCCGAGCCGTATTCAAGGAATCTCTGTTAAAACCTTGTGGCCTAGCCTTCTCCGAATTGCGCAACCCGCGGTGGATAGCCGAGAGAGAAGAGGAGCGAGAGTAGACATTGACAGGCTTAGGAAAGGCCCAGGTTCTGAAGAGAATATTATGTTTACTTCGTATACACGAAGCCTGGAGGGAGATCATCGAATTTCCCTATCAAGTTCTCTCAGTGGTACTTTACTGAATATAGTACCAATAATTGTGAGCACAATGAGCATGTGAAGGAGTTTGCAGCTCAATAAAATTTCGATGTACCGAAGTATACCATGGATTATCTTCCAGACGCTAACGCTTATCTTATCGCCGAAAGCTAGGGGTCCTATGTATGTAGAAAAATACCCTTGTATTTGCGGCTGCAGTGCAATGACGCTAAACCATGTTGAGGTTAAGTGCCTCGATTAACGCAACGCGTGAAGTAATTAATTCTACAGCGCGTTTTCAATTACCGGCAACGTTAGCATGCGCCTAATTTATCTGCGATAGCTCTACTTTATCATTTCTCAACATCGTTTCTGCCGTGATCTTGGGGGGGATGTGATTATGGCTTTGCATTACCCTGTGACGCCCTAGCAACTTGTTTGATTTCTAAAATTTGCGCATCGCAGCTGGCAACTGCCAACTGCCAACCTAATACTAGACTGGTACCCCTCTGACTTTTTGTTGCTTAAAGCATCTCGATTCAACGACATGCATCCTCCTACTTTGTATCTATATCTGTAGGAATCTATGACCGTAATTCAAGATGGAAAGCGACTTAGAAGACTCGATGGCCCGTACGGCCCTTCAGGATGACGTTGTCATGGACGAAGTGCGCGAGTTATCTCATCAAGACTTAGACTACGATGTACAAGACGAATGCGACTTAGACGACTTGGACGACTCACATACAAAAGAAGCACCTAATCCAAATGCCGGGGATAGGCAGGAACAAGAGGAGGATATACCCCCAGCAACATCTCGACTACACTCTATTGTGGTAGTCCTTCATCCACCACCGGATCCAACTATATACGAACGGATATATCCGAGTCAGACTGTGGAGAGGATCCTTGATGAGATGGAGGATGAGGACGGCGAAATATACTATAGTGTTGAATTCAAGGATGGGTACATAGAAGATGTAAGTGGTCTCTCTGTTCTTAGGATGCTGTTCTTGGGATACATATCCTCTACTTGCCTCATCCCCTTTGTTTCTTTAATCTATTCGTGCTACTACTCTGGACTACCTCTATGGATACCACCTGCTTCAACCCTCACACGGGCTGCTTCCTTGGAGATGTGATTGCCCCAACAACCTACAAATCACTCACGCTACTATCATTACGTATGCGTTGTTTAGTTTTCCTGCGCGTGCTACTTCCTCATAGTAGTTCACGTCTTAGGTTCTTCACTCCTCACCCCCAATAAAACTCTCACTCTTCCTTTTTACATGCCTCATTCAACTTCTCTCAACAACAACAACGAAAACAACAACTATTCTCGTTGCCATTAATACTTTGGGACGCTCCCATCTAACATATACCATACGAACCACACACACTTACACCTTTACCTTTCTCCTACACCCTACCCCCTACACCCTACCCCCTACACCCTACTCTTTTCATCCATATTCTTGGTGGATTCCTTCTATGGGTCCGATCTAATGCGTACAGGCCTACCTTATGGTTACTAGGGCTGTTAGTACAAGATGGTAGGTTTCCTGAGGTGGCTACACGTGAGGAATTACATTCAAAGTCATTCCTGCCTCGTCTGAAGCATGTTGATTCCCGCCCTGTTTTGCAAGAAATGCTCATTCTTACCACACCACCCTTTATTAATACACACGAGGACCACATCTTTACTTTATCTTCTTTATTTTTTTTATTGAAATATCTACTAATTTCTTCAAATAGGTAGCATATGATGATATGCTGCAGCTTAAAAACGGCCCTCGCTCTGCGCAACAATTTCAAAATCGAAGATTCAATATTAGCCAGCCAGCCATGGATAGACAATCGGACAAGCGCCTCCCCCCCGAGGACAACTATTACGATTCGGAATCTTATGGCTCTGACAATCCCAGGAAACGGAAGAGGACATCCTCTCGGCCTACTCGCAGAAGTACGCGGCAAGCCTCTAGGCAGGCCTCCGTGCGAGCCTCTATGGAAAATGACCTCGAAGATAATGGCTTTGGTGAGAAACTTGAAGACATGCTCTCTGACAAGGAGTTCGAGGATAGAATCCCTTCAAAATCTCGCAGCTCCGTTCAACTCTCTTCAATAAGAGTCACCCGTTCAAAGAATCCTGCGTGGCAAAGCAAGCATAAACTGGATGACTCCGAGGATGAGTTGGCTCGGGGTCACAAATCTGACCAGGATGATGACTACGATGATGCCATTCCGTTCGTCCGTTCCGATATTGGCGGCGCTGTGAGAGCGTCATCTCGTAAAAAGAGGAAACTGAAGCACATGTACACATCTAGCAAATACATCGACAGCGATTCGGAGATCGAATTCGAGACATCCCGAAGGTCGAAGAGGTCAACCAAGGCTTCAAAGAGCATGCGCGATCCCGAGATTGATGATGAATACGATGCAGTTGACGACAACCTCCCTTTTGTACCTAAAATCGCCGCAATCAAGGAGATTTTCGAAGAGCGACGTGAACAGTCAGGGTTTCGACGAGCACATTCTGGAGTATGTGATGCTTGTGGATCGGTGTCGAGTCATGCAAAGGGTTCCCTCATCCCATGCCAGGGATGTTCCTATGCATTTCACAAGCAGTGCATCGGTCCGAGATCTCAACGTGACCACAGAGTTACTAAAGTTGGTCCAAATGACTTTGTGTTGCAATGTCGCTTCTGCATTGGACTACACAAAAAGAAGGACATACGTGCTCCAGACTACTCAGCATGTCAGCATTGCAAAAATCCTGGTATCTCATGTGCGGAATTCTCACCGAAGAGAACTCCAAAACAAGAGGAGAAAGCTAGACTCGAGAATGGGGGAGAAGATCCAGTCACACCCGTCCAGCCTAATCTAGTCAACAATCCAGATAATGTACTATTCCGATGCTTAACTTGCAGACGCGCCTATCACTTCCAGCACCTGCCTCAGCTAACCACAAACCCTGATGAGGATCGTTTCGACGAGTACTCCCTAGCCGGATGGAAGTGCAAAGACTGTTTAGACACGAGCCAGGGGATCCACGCGTTAGTTGCGTGGCGGCCTGCTGACCAGGATGCCTATATCGAGGACCAGCGAGCCGGCGAGTTTAGCGAGGATGAGATAGAGTATCTGGTGAAATGGGAGGGGAGATCTCACCTTCACGATACTTGGATGGCTGGAGCTTGGGTTTACGGCATAGCTGCGGCTACTATGCGCACCGCATTTCATAAGCGCGAAGAGAACGACCTACCCAAGATGACCATTGAGTCCGCAGTTGAAGAGGAATGGGTTTTGGCCGATGTCCTCCTCAATGTGAGATATAAGCGCGGCTCTACTGCTTCTTCCAAGGCCCAAGATTTAAATCGCATTTCCGAAATCCAGTCGGTATATGTGAAGTTTCAGGGTCTCAGTTATGAAGAAGCAGTTTGGGATGAGCCGCCTCCTCGTGATTCGACAACCTTATGGGCTGCGTTCGCAACTGCATACGATGAATTTCTCAACGGAAAATACTTCCCATCTGCTAGAGATCAGAGGATGCGTGAACGTATTAGTAACTATCGATCTCTCGACTTCCAAGAATCTTGCGAGCTGAAAAGCCAACCCCCGGGCCTCAAAGAAGGCCGTACGCTAATGCCATATCAAATAGAAGGCGTCAATTGGCTTCTTTATAACTTCCACCAGCAGCAGAACGTCATCCTCGCTGATGAGATGGGGCTTGGCAAGACGATCCAAATCGTCTCTTTTATTAGCACTCTTGTCCAGGATCAGCCCAAGTGCTGGCCATTTCTTATCGTCGTACCGAATGCAACTTGCCCCAATTGGCGTCGCGAGCTTAAGGATTGGTCCCCCGCGCTCCGAGTAGTAACATATCACGGCGGCAGAGTCTCTCAGGATCTAGCGTTTAAGCACGAACTCTTCCCTGATGGGGTCAAAGATGGAATGAAGGCACATGTCGTGATTATGTCCTACGAGGCGGCCAGTTCGGTGAGGACCACTTTTCAAAGTGTTAAGTGGGCTGGCTTGATCGTTGATGAGGGCCAGAGGCTCAAGAATGATGAAACGCAGCTTTACAGGACGTTAGTTGACATGAACATCCCGTGCCGGATCTTATTGACGGGTGAGTGGTGGCAGGTAGTCATTTATATACTCGAATATGCTAACGCTTAATAGGTACCCCGTTGCAGAATAATAAAAAGGAATTGTTCACCCTTCTTCAGTTTATTGACCCAAAGAACAACGCCGAGGCACTTGACGCTCAATATGACGAGCTAACAAAGGAAAATCTACCAGAGCTTCATGACCTGATCCGCCCCTATTTCCTACGACGTACTAAAGTTCAGGTCCTCAAGTTCTTGCCGCCAATGGCACAGGTCATTGTTCCCGTTACCATGACGGTGCTACAGGAAAGGTTATCTAAGTCTATCATAGCTCGAAACCCAGAGCTAATCAAAGCAATCATCTCTAAAGGAAAGATGAAAGCAAGCGATCGTAAGAACTTGAGCAACATCATGGCGGATCTTCGACAATGTCTATGTCACCCATTCTGCTTCAATGCCAACGTTGAAGACAAGAATGTTAGCGAAGAGCAAATGCGACGGAACCTAATTGAGGCTTCGCCAAAGTTCATGCTACTAGAGATGATGCTCCCGAAACTCAAGGCAGGGGGGCACCGCGTACTGATATTCAGTCAATTCATACGTTGCCTAGATATCATTGAAGACTTTCTCAATATACTGGGTCTTCCGTTTGGGCGAATTGATGGGAAGCTAAGCGCTCTCAAGAAGCAGAGACAGATCGACGCCTTCAACGCTCCTAACTCGCCACTATTTGCGATGCTGTTGTCGACTCGTGCCGGTGGCGTTGGTATAAATCTCGCCACGGCAGACACAGTTATCATATATGATCCAGATTGGAACCCGCATCAGGATATACAGGCCATATCCCGGGCCCACAGAATTGGCCAGAAAGAAAAAGTTCTCTGCTTCCAACTTACGACCAAAGACACTGTCGAAGAGAACATCCTGCAGACAGGAAGGAAGAAGATGGCCCTCGACCATGCTCTCATCGAGAGCTTAGATGCTGATAACGACAATAGCGGCGACTTAGAATCAATCTTGAAACGCGGTGCAGAGGCTCTATTTAGTGATAGGGACAAAGTGAAGATTACGTATGACTCGGCGGCCGTTGATAAGTTGCTAGACAGGAGCCGACTCGAGAGTACAAGTACGGATAACCAGACAGCTGACAACCAGTTTTCGATCGCGCGTGTCTGGGCTAATGACTCGGGCACGCTCACGAATAACATAGACCAACCCGACAACAACCCGCCGACGACGGATGCGAGCGTCTGGGAAAAGATTCTCAAGGCACGCGAGGAAGAGCATAAGCGCGAACTTGCCGCAAAACAGGAGGTGTATGGCCGTGGTGCTAGGCGACGTGGTACTCAAGTAAGATACCATTCGTATATGATTTTTATCTACCCGAGACTGACAGTATTTAGGGTGTGGACTATAGCGGTACTCGAGTATGTTACATTGAAGGCGTAGATAATTTTGATGAGAAGTCCCTAACAGAAGAACAGCGCCCAGAACCAGACAGTGGCGGCTCCGACGTCGATGGGGAAGACGAACTTTACATCGACAACGGCGTAGAAGACGATGACGATGAAGTATACGGGGAAGAGGAAGAAGAATCAGCGGTCCCAGCAAAAAACAAGGGGGCTAAAGGTAAACACCCAACTTCATCAACACTGCAAAAGTCACGAGCCAAAAAAGCCAAGATAGTTAACACTCCCAACAGTAACAGAGCACAGTCAGGGCCTAGAAATGGCAATGCAGATAGCGGCCGAACCCCTCGAGCCGCCACGAAAAGCTCGTCAGAGCATCAGCCAGACTCAGGGAGTAATTCAACCAGTAACACGGCCAGTATACCAGCCAACACCCCAGCTAGTATCCCAGTCAATCTATCAGCCAGTCTATCAGCCAGTACCAACGAAACCCAGTCAAAGCCAGGCGCAGAGGCCACCAGCCAAAATCAGTCGACCAATGCCACAGACCCGAGTGCCACCTCCGCAGAATCCCCACCAACCACAGTCTCCCCTGCTTCAAAATCTAAATCCTAACTTCGTAGTTTCGATCCCTCACCGCGAGCAACCTTCCTTTGCTAGCAAATCTGGTTTATCATCGACTATTCCTCCTGCTATACCAGCCTCTAAGGTATTAAAGTCAAATCAACAACCCGTTAAGAGAGCACCCCGCAAAGAAATTCTCAACCCTTCTTTCAGTGCTCCACCGGCCTCTCCTACGGACAACAGTGGCACTTGCATAGTTTGCAAGAATAAGCACCACATTAATAAAGCTTGTATAGACTTCAACTCCGAGGTCTCGCTGCGGCTCGCCATCGATACTCTAAGAACTAGCGGAGACACGCCTCAGGTTCAAGCATACAAGGCACACCTCGCCAACCATTTGCGACGACTATCAGGGTCTTGAAGGTATAAGTCTGGGTAAAGAGGCATGGTTTGCGGATTGGCTTATAGCTAGTTGCCTCGATGGGCATAATTTTTGCTACATGCTTGTTTGCAGATAAGAGAAATCAGGTTCGTGTTGACTACGCTATTACGCTATGATGTATTACCTACCTACCTAGGTACCTAAGTCAGATGCATATAGCCCGTCTATAGTGCAAATCAAGCAGAAAGGAAATAAATGGCCATGATTGATTTGTGATCAAGACATTTTGGAGTTGATTTCGGGTTGTTTAACAGTTATACAGGCCGTTTGTCACGTGGGAAACACAAGACAAGAACTGCAGGTAACCGTAGATGCATTCAACCTTATTTGAGGTTTCTCAGCAAACGCCGGTGATAATAAGAGATATGCGAGTAGCAGAGTCGTGTGCTTAAGGGTCTTCTTATGAATGTGTGTGCGTGTGCGTGTGTGTGCGTGTGTGCATGTGTCAGCTTGCTCCAGCTTCCAGCCCGACGGAAAATAAGTATTCCTAATATTCCTAATATTCCTGGGCTTTCTAGGCTTTCTAGGTTTCCAGGTTTCCAGGTTTCCATGCATTCTTTTAAAGACCTTCATGCTTTTTATCAAAACCAGCTTATGTTCTTTTTTTTTCTTCTCAATATTTCATTGAGAAACACCAACACCATCCCATCTAAACATCCAAAGCCGTCTAGGGTTGTGTTTTTGTCAAGACGTGCCTGGTGTTGTTGATCCAGTCTTGCGAGACTGTATAAATAATACCCAGAGCGCGTACCCATTTTCTCGCCCGTTTGCTCTGATTTCTTTGATATTCATCTTCTCCTTCTCACCATGGAAACGTCTTCTCCTCTCCCCACCGCCTCTGGCCCAATAACCAACTCCCCCTCCGACTTGTCTTACTCTTCAGGCGCTTCTCGCGCTTCCACTCGAAATACATCTCCTGATTCTACTACTGATGCTACGGCTTCTTCTGAACTCGCGTCGCAGCTCTTGGATTTTGGTTTGAACACCAATATAGAGCACACCCCCAACTCTCTACTTGACTCTCAGCTTAAGATGGATCGAAACCCTTTCCAGTCTGTCAACAATCGTAGAAACAAGCTGGTTACGGACCGCAGCAGTACAACCCAAATCCAACAGCCCCAACAGCCTCAACAGCAACATTTTCAGCCTCAAACGCTAAGAGCTAGCATGCAGTCTCTGGGTATGGCGCCTAGAAGTCTTGCTTCGTCTAACTGGAGATCGCAGGCTGCGGATGAGGCAGCATTGTCAGCTCGTACTGGCGAATTCCCCTCGTTCGACCCTACTGTTAGCCATCATACACAGCAAAGTTCTGGTGGTCGACAGTCGTTATACGCAGGCTCTCGTTCAGATCAGTTCCAGCAGCAGCAGCAGCAGCAACTACTCTCTAGCATGATGCCTTACTCGGTTTCTAGCAACATCAACGACTTCCAGCTGGAATCCAGCTACGCTTACTGCTACGATCGAGGCAACGGCCAGTATACGCGTCTGATCCCTGCCGACATGTTGCCCGCCTTAAAGGATATTCCAGCCCTGCAGCAGAACTGCTCCGGAATGCTGGTGTTGCCGCTACCACGAGGTCTGCCTTCAAACGGACGGTCGAGCAACACTAACCCGGCTATCCTCAGAGTAAGCCATCTAACTTGATATCACACTTCCTAAATTATGCTCTCTATTCCGCGTAAACGATATACTGATTGTCTATAGAGTCCAACGAATACCCCGTCTTCGACTTCGGATAACATCCAGGTAAGCCCGAGTGTTTGCTTGAACTCCCTGCTTCGGAGCAGCGCCAATATGGTATCTATACTCCCCCCCAGTCCACCCAACTCCTTCACCAGACATCACTACCCCGCCAATAATCACATAACCTGGTCAGGGCTCGATATTAGGCCGGTGCAAACGGGATCCCGTGTCTTAGACATCGGATATCATCAGAGTCCCGATGATCCTGCCCTTCCCTTTCACATTGTCTGACAATGCCTGCCTGCCTACCTACCTACCTACCTACCTATCCACCGCCCAGATATCCATACTCCAGACCTCAACGCTAACAGTCTCCGCCGCCGCAGTCACGAATCGACACCATCGTAGCCTCGACGCCCCCGACGCCAACAAGCCTGTCCATGGCAACGGGAGTCGCAGGTCTGGGTCCCGGATCCGCCGCCGGCGCTACAGGTGCCCCCCTCCCGCAACACGCCCAACATCCTCACCACCATGCCAGCACCAGCCACAACAACAACCACCCCCAACAGCAGCCGCAGCGACGCCCCAAGATCTACTGCGACAAGTGGGTGCACGAGGGCGTGTGCGCCTTCACCCAGCAGGGCTGCAAGTACAAGCACGAGATGCCCTTCGACAAGGTGACGCAGCACCAGCTGGGCCTGTTCCACGGCTTCCCGGCCTGGTGGAAGAAGCACCAGGCCGACCTGTCGCGGCAGAGAGACGGCCCCGAGGACCCGGTTAGGCTGAGCGGCGGCAGCAGCGGCGGCGGCGCTGAGCGGTTCATGGGACGAGGTGGAGGCGGAGGTGGACATCCTGCTGCTGCGGGGGCCGGTGCCGAGGTTGCGGGGATGGCGTCGGGACCCCCGAGCTGGCGCCGGAGCGCCGACGGGCTTCCTACGGAGCAGAAGGCGTTGGGGACGGGTCGGAGCATGGCGAGGGATATGAGAGGAGGAGGAGGAGGAGGAGGAGGAGGTATTAAGAATCCATTTGGTACGTTGGACTCCGCAAGTGTGCGCAGACGAAGCAGCAAAAGCCAGCCTGACTAACATGGAGCCTTGTACAAACAGTGTCGTACTCGTCTCCGTTCGGTCCCATCGCACCCCCGGCTTGGACCTCGTCGACGACCCCGGCGGCGTTTGCAGCCGCCGACCTGGATGCTGGTGCTGCGTCGAAGGCGGGAGGAGCCGGAGCCGGAGCCGGGGGCAATGGCGGCGGCGGCGGCGGTGCTCCGACTGCGAACCCGTACTCCTCGCTCGAGGCGCTGGAGGAGAGCGCCAATGGCAAGGGCGGAGAGAAGGCCAAGGCGTCGGTCGGAGGCTCTAGCGGTGCGCGGCTGATTTGAAGTAATGTTGGCCCGAGGACGGAGGACGGAAGACGGCTTGGATGAGGATGCTGTGGGAAGATATTGGAGACAGTGTTTGTTGTTGTCTGCATCAACACTCATCCTCTGATCTTCTATTCGCTTACCCCCTGTCCCTACCTATACATATCACCTCCCCTTTTATCACACGTACCCTCATGTTCGAGTACTTGTTTACGGTCCTCATCCATACAGGCGTTCATTTTCCCTCTCAATCCCATCATCATCTTCCCCCACCTCCGCCCCAGCAAAAGGAACGATTACAGCTTCCTTTTCTGTTCTTTTCTTTTCTTTCCTCTCCTTTTTTTTTTTCACGCACGTACGCACGCACGCACGCACGCATACATACATAGCATGACGACACGACCTAGACCAACGACAGGCGGCACCGCCTGCGCCGAGTTTCTCGCGAAACATGATTCACGACGACCCCTTATTCGCTCTCTACTGTTTTGTTTCACTACCGGCGTTCCCGTTTGCGTTTGCGTTTGCATTTACACTTGCACTGCTAGGGGTGGATGGATGGATAGGTAGGAGGGGGAAAAAAATTTGGGAGCGGACGAAAAGGAAAAAGGGGTTAGGGGTTAGGGAAAAGGGAAATAGGGAGGGGGGTGTGGCGGCTGAGGAGGAAAAGGACCACGCATATTGCCAATGTATAATAAACTAGCCCCTCGAGGCGAGGCAAGGCAAGGCATGAGACTGGCATATATCCAGAAATGGATTAAATACTATGTGGCATTTTCTGGTTTTGCATGTATGCCCTATTGAACAGTTAGCTGTCCGGGTGGTTTACGAGTTTGTCATGATTAATGAACGGGTGTGACGTCCTCTTGTCGCTTTCTTGTAATGGTATTGCATACATACCTACGTACAAGCTCTATAGTATACGCGTCCGTCCTTTTTAGGGTGGCATAATTGCCCGTCGCAGATGGTTTAATGTGTAAGTAAAAGTCCTTAATTGGAACACTCCCCTAGCTACGCTTGCCAGCCCATAACCTTTCAGGGCGGCTACAAGACTCCGGCATTTAGGAAGTAGTGATATACGGCTAGTACGGGTACTTCAATGTGGTCAACTTAACTGATAACTACCACGTAACTAGTAAAGAGTGATAACATGTAAACCAATCGTTCAAAGAGGGCTAAACAAGCCAAGCCAGCAGCTTCCAATAAGCAAACCAAATATTTCATCATATTATTTCCCAGTTTACTCCCCCTGAACCCTACTATCTTCCCAGTCATCTTCTCAATTATGCGCATAGTCCCCTATGTCTCGTCTATACCTTGATATAGACCCCCTTTTGTGGTTATTGGTGGTCATTAGAGCATGTCGTGCGCAATGCCACGATCTATCAATACTGCTTCTGGACGATTCGAGTAGTGTCCAACGCTCCATAGAATGATATAATAGAATATCACGAGCAATACTACTACGGAAACCAGGGTTCCTACGTCTTGTAAGCATATGTCCTCTCGCATATCAGTGTCTTATGGAGGGAAACCTACTGATGAGGTAGTTTGGAATCCAGAAGAATATGTTGCATAGTCCTAGGAGGTTGTTGTTCCAGGTAGTTATGACAAACCTTCCCAAATATGTGTTATCGGCCGCTTTTAATGTACCTAGCCACGGAAGCCTCCCGAGAATAGTCGTGGCGTATGTTACCTCCCCCACCTCGTCCGCTTCGAGTAGGGCAGTATTGCGGCCTATGAGTTCTAGTAAGCGCTGCTTGTTGTAGGCGTCGGAGCGTACAACAAAATCCCGGAACCCAAGAGACCCCGTAAATCCAGTTAATAGGGGCTTGTTAATCCGATATGTCCTTAATTCGTCTGTATGTTGCGAGACCCTCTGGCCATTAATATTTACGGCTATCTCGTATCTCCGAGAGACGCGTGACGCGCCTCCGATCGGCGATTTAAAGGGCCTTGTATAAATACTAGAACAATTAGAACATACTTAACTATAGAGAATAGAGAGGTCGTACTGGCGTAGTTGGATTCGAGGATTAGCTCCGTAGTCAAGCCACTGTTCTGTCAACGTCCATTTATCTTTCGGTCTTACTTGTCCTAAAAGTAGGGATTCCACCCAACGAACCCATGGCACAGTAGTATGGCATCCCCGCTTCGAAATCTGTACCCTACCTTCTACATCGCGTATATCACTGCCGAAAAATCCATTTTGGAAGAATTCTACCATGAGCGCGATGTTGTCCGACCCTAGTACTTTAGAGTCAAGTCCGAGCATGCAAAACCCCAATATATCAGACACCACAGATCCTTGTTTCGGTAAACTGTTCATCCTTCTTAGTATCCAATATCGTAGCGCAATTAGCCCATAAGAAGAAGACTGCACTAAAAGCGAACAATAATCGGGAACTCTAAAATGCAGAAAGGCATTTACATCAAATGCTGAACAAAATGCCATCAGCGGTGGAGAGGGAGATCCAAACTCGAGCATTAAGCAGACATCTTCAATCTGATCCATATATCGACCAATTAAAGACTTTTCGGTGATATTCAGGATCCCTATAAAGTAGGCAAGGCAGCACACCCTACGTATGGGATGGCAGTGGCTAGGATGTGAGTGGCTTGAGTGTCCGTATTTGTGGAAGAATATAATCTCCCCAAGAACGAGCTGGCAAGCCGATTTCACTAGTCCTACTTTGGTTACGCCACACTCGAGAAGTTTTTCGTCGATATCGGTTTGCAGGATCTCGATGATAGAACGATGGGTAAAAGCAAGAACTGATGCATGTTCCATATTTCCTAGGGGGGGTACTTTCGATACTTCAAGTAAACCATTAAAACGAGCATTAACCTGTTCTTCTGTAAATATATGCCAGTCTTCTCTCTGTAGTTCAGAGTCGATTGAGTAAGGTCGTAAAGAACTTGTTCCCTCAGCAACCTGGTCCAGCTTCTCCGATAAGTAAGATGCTCCTAGGACCGTAACATACTCCAGAGGTGCCATAGAAGCATACACTCTGCTCATGGCAAATATTATGTACGCTTCTTTTTGGTATGAAGTAGAAATTGAGTTGAGCATGTGCCTCAGGTAGTCAAGTAATGGCTTCGGCCGGGTGTCAATGTATTTCCAGACTCTGTATGGATTATAGTCGCCACTTAAAAACTTTCGCACTTCCAACATTGCAAGCCGAGTCCAGAGGAAGATACCTTCGGCTATGTCCACAATATGGTTTACCAGGCATTTGATTACACATCGATGATTTGACAAGTCATCACAGAGATTTTCTTGTACTCGTGTAAAAGCTTCCTGTAAATTCGCAAATTCCAGGTGTGTTTCCAAGCGCTCTGCAACATACTCTTGCATATCTTGCCTAGTAAGCCTATGTAGTCGAATCCTCTGGTGAATTGAAATGGTCATGAAAGCCTCGTATTCCCTACTGGAAACACAAACTTTGACCCTCCCTCCTGATAGAAACGTCCAGTTTTGGATGAGACGCACTAAGTCACGGTGATCCTCGGCGTGTTTTTCTTCGTCAAATTCGTCAAGGCCATCAATAAGTAGAAATATCCTATAACGTTCCAGGATCGTAGGGCTACTTATCAACAAGTCGACTGCTTGAGAAATTTCCTCGTAGCTTAGACGTGTGCGAGCTTTTTGACCCAGACCACTACGGCTAGGGATTAGTAGTTTCATGAGCTCTGGGGCTTGCTCTAGTGCAGACCTCAAAAAGGTGCACCTGAGTCCCATTAAACCGTCCTGGTGGGAAGTAGACCAAAAGAAGTATTTCATGCAAAGGAGTTGCGAAGTACCGGCCCATTTGCTGAGCATGTCCTTCGTCGATCCATGTTTCCATATGAATTTCATCAGCGTTGACTTTCCAGCACCAGGCTTCCCAAGGATATGGAAAATTCCATATCCATTACGGAGCCAGTCGGTGAACGATATTTTCAAGTCCGGTTCTACTTCAAAGAGTCTTTTCGGCTCATAGAAGATCCACTCAAACGTGTTGGCGAGATTGTTGTGTACTTCATCATATCGTGGGTTTAGTTGTGTACCGTTATGGTACTCGCTAAGCTCCTTGAAAACCTCGTTAATTTTTTGTATCTCTTGCGCATGACGGCAGAGATCGAGGACTTGTTGGAACTGGTTACGCAGATCGTTATTGGTTGAGACCATCATGGACTGAATTTCCTCTAACTGTTGTTCGATGTTATTGTTCACAATAGTACCCTTGATCATGTCCATGACTTGGCGAATCTGAATCCTATAGTACGTATTAGTTCATCTCATTTTGAAACATAAACAGTAGGCTTCTTAGTGTCTGCAAAGAAGAAATCAAGAGCAGTAATCTGTTAATACTATAATTTTAGGGATCATACATACTTCATAAATGAAATGAAGGCCAGATGGAGCGTCTGTTGACCCTTTTCTAAGCTAAATTGAAGGTCTCGAAGATTTTTCCCATTGAATTTTAACCTTGTTGCTACTTTAAATGCGCCCTTTATCGAATGTGGCTTTTCTGATATATCTCGATTTAGTAGGGACTTGATATCCGACGAGATATCTTGGCATCTGGTGACTATGACCTGGATATTCTTGTCATGATCTTTCGAAGTGCCCTTTAAGTCTTCCAACTTCTGAGAGTCTTTCTGGATCTTGTCTAGGAGATCGATCATTTCCTCGTTGTAGCCAAGTAGACTTTCCTGTTCTCTTGGCAGTCCTGTCTTTGAATCATAGGCTTCTTTGACCTTTCTTACGCACTTGGTTGTACGATCAATAAGGTCTAACACGCCGAAAAGGAGGCCTACTGCGGTGAAAGGATCCATAATGCTGTTTAGGATCTGTTAAACTCGAAATTTCGAAAATTCCTCATACATTTGAGCTAACTTGAGGAGTCTTCATATTTATTCAAGTAATGAAGCCTTATAGTAGTCTTTAAGCCAGGCAGCTATCCCGTATTCTTACGATGCATACCACAGTACGAAATGCTGCGTTGTGCGAGAGTGAGGCTCGTTGCATATCGCTCGGTAGGCAAACTTGTAAATTGGCGATGGGACCCAGCGATCACAATATGTAGTGATACTATACCTAGCATTTGAGGTATGTCTATGGGCAGTATTGATTGAAAGTGGACGGCATTTACTTGCTTGCTTCGAATATTCGAGGCAATGTCTAAGAGGTACGAGATTATACTCGAGGAAAGAATCCTAGGTAAGGTTAGGACCATACCTAGGTACATATATGTACACGTCCACTATTTTAGGTATTGTATGTACCTTACAATAATAAGCCGAGTCACTGTGGCGCGCACTAAAAATAAGTACCTACATAGCTCTAACGCTCCACCAACCACAGCCTTGACACAATCCCAATAAGGCAAGAGGGGAAAGGGGGGCGCAACTAAAGCCCACTATGCTCTCCGAGCGCCCAGGAGTAAAGAGCAACTCAAGAGCAACATACTCACCTACCTAACCTACATCATAGGGAACACGCGCGTGACGCGAGTCGTTTTCGCTACTGCTCGAGGCCGAACACGATGCCGGCCAGCCGCTCCTAAGTCCATCGTTCGTTACGAGTTAGGTTTTCCGTAAGGTAATGCGGTATATTTATGCTGACAGCCGAGCCGAGCCGTTATCTTGTTTGCTCAGAGAAGGTCGACTGTTTCACCTGTTGACACGTATAGTATAGCACATGTTGCTCTTTAAAAAAAATGATTGGTGCGTTAATAGTTGGGGTTTGATTGGTTAAAAATCCATGGGCAGCTGTACAACCAGACAACCAATAGGTAAAGTTGGGTCCTACATCCTACATCCTACACTCTACATCCTACACCTACCAAGTTTAGTTTCTACCTAGGTTAACTAATTGTATGTACCTAAGCGCCTACTACTTTCAATGCAAGTCCATATGGAACTCGATCGGTGTTTATCGGCATTGTACCATCAACGTAACGGATCATCTTCCCAGAGCCCCTACAAGCCACAAGGTCGATATTTCGCCCGTAGTACCTTGCTTAGCTCTTGGGTCCGATTTCGACCATCCTAAAGAGCCTCAGGGATCAGAAGGTTTTCGGCAATTTCCATCCCAGCATGGATACAGCTTCAAGGCTTTGATCGACTTGGCAACATCAGATAGAAAAACTTGTGCCTTTTTGCAGTCATGGCTCTTCTTTGGGTTGTTGACAGAGACATTCTCCCGTCCGAACTATGATTTTAGGCGCGAGGACTTCGTTCGATCGGATGACAACGGCAATATAGTGGTAACGACCAAGGATCTTCCACGTTACCTTTGGTATTGGCTTGCTGCACGTATACAGGACTACCGCGAAGATATGATGAAGCTTGAAAAGACAGTAGATGATTACCTCCATCTAGCTCATGATATATTGCATTCCGTAAATCAACAGAACCGCCAATCGCCCGTACGCAGGATTGTAAGCCCGGAATGGACAGCGGAAGCCAGCATTCTTTTGTCGATTTCATTGCTAGGCGATTGCTTAACGTTTGCGCGAGGAGAACCACGACAGTATAACCTAATAATACCACTTTATTGGGAAAGTACCTTCTTGGATACTGTTATGATGGAAGCTGGTTGGTGTGTGGGCGAGCTGTCGACACTAAGGAATGAATGCAGTCTTTCTAGTCGCTATTATCTCTCGACAATAAACCGAAAAGCCTTAGCCAAAAATCACGAGAAATGCAATAACGGCATAACTTGTCAGCTGAAATACATTCAGGAGCTAGTAAACAAGCCATACGAGCCGAGATACTGGCCAGTCCCGTTTTGGATGGATACCTTGTGCATCCCAGTAGGAAAGGAACACACCAAGTCGAGACGAGCTGCAACAACAAGGATAGCCCAGGCATTCAGAAAGGCTGACAAAGTCTTGGTGGTAGACGGATCGTTGCAGCTCTGCCCCCTAGCAGTTCCTGGGTAGAGACACATATGCGTCTTCAATATTCTCCCTGGATGACAAGGCTCTGGACATACCTGGAAGCTAGGTTCTTTCGTAACCTCTATTTCCAACTAGAAAACGAGGCTATATTTGGCGAAAGCTTGGAGCGCGAGCTGGTTCGACCAGAAACTCTAATCAGAATATCGAACACCTTGCGAGAACTGCCTGAGGAAAGGCTTCGGTCCAGCCAGAGTGCCATCCACTTGATACGAACCATATCTACCGCGCAACCGTCCGAACATTTAATACAATATGCTGCCATGCCGCCACAGTCTGATTATGAAGAGGAAAAACTCCGCCAGGGGGCAATTGACCACCTACTCGCCAACAAAGAGTACTATGCGCTTGAGACTATCTGGAGACCATTTTTAAGCAAACTCGGTCTCCTCGACGATCTAGGCGATGATAATGACGATATAACCAGGGTTCATATTGAAATTACTAACATCTGCCCCGTGATGAAGCATGCCTTTAACTCTATTGCAAGCGTGAGAGGAAAACTAGCCGGGTTGGTCTTCGAGCAGTTGAGTGGCATGCCTGACATACGATTCACTAGGGAATGGAACAGCGTTGCTAGGCTGTTTGAGGAGATTTCGAGTGGTTTCAGGGCGAGAACAACCAGTTGGCTGGATGGCGAGACAGTTTGTGTCGGCACTCTTCTCGGCGTTGATCTAGCCAAAATCCTAGAAGTCCAACCGATGAACTGGTGGTGGCGCAAGCGACTTGACAGGATCGACTGCCGGAAGTCGCCATACCCCTTAGTCAGGAGCCTTGGTATAGACTTTAGTCGGTGGACAGAAGCCTGTCAGAAGCAGCGGATGAAGATTTTCCTATCGCAAGTACAGGATTTCCCGTTGTCTATCATATTTTGGAACGTACCACGGCTAGGTTCAGAACAATGGACCTGGGCATCACGATCTTTCTTGCACCGAAACACTGGCAGTGAATATAGTTTCGTGTTAGGTGTCGCTAAACTTGGATCAACTGGCCTTGAGGTAACAACTACAGGGTATAGACTGAGTAGGCCTCCTTTTCGGAAAGTCCGCAGTATGAGCACGCGGGTTCCATCCCGTAGTGCCCAACGGCCCGGTGAGACGTTTTATCGACTACCTACGTAGTTACCTACCTAGGTAGGTACATAGTCTAACAATTACTGATGGTAATGTAGCCGGAAACAGACTTATCATGCTTGCAACGGAACCGACACCAGACGAGTCCCTCAGGCGTGCCTGGCTACACGTTGAGTTCTTGCCCGACGACAACACCATCACATCGAAATCGGCCAGTCGCTTGACTTGGCAAGACTACATTGACAAGGGAATCATAGACAAGTTGGCTATTCTATACCGATCGCAGCTTGGCGTTCTCGTACAAATCTATGACACCCGTGATGGGGTATACCTAGTACGACACATACGTCTAGTGCGTGTGACCGCCGATTCCAAGGAGGAAAACATGCCCACGGCTTTAGGAACATGGGTGAGCGGTGGCAGATGGTGTATAGCCTAAACAGTATACGACGCCATCTCAACCCTAACTATCGAAAGCAAGGACAGCAAACCACGACCCGCTCTCCATTCCCACAAGGAGCATAATGATGGCAACCCCCGACTTTTAAATATCCGACGAGACCAGCTTATTATATTCGAGTAGCAGCCTACACGTTTTTATTGCGGATTCTCTGTCATATTAAGTTCTAGCTCGAAATATGGACAACCCATATTCATTTTCAACTGAATGGTAGCAGTGACTAGCAACCTGCTCGAGCCTGTACCGAATACGAGTTCAGCAGCAGTATTTTCAGTATTTTCAGTAGACAGGGTTTCAATATTGGCGAGCTTCGTGAATTTATTTCCCAAGTCCGCCCACTCTTTAGCCCACTCTTCATACGCATAAAGGCGGATCCAAGCACGAGGACTTGGGTATTCACTTGGATAATGAAGTCTACACACTAAGTAGAAATGACCTGAAGGAAGCGGCTGTGGCCCCTCGCTTTTCTGGATCTTTCGTGCGAGGCTAGGAAACACCTTCCAAAACCCCCCAAAAGACTTGTCACCTCTGGTAAGGAAAAGACTTCGGGACGCATCCCAGCGATCGCTCGTTATAGAGCGCAGAATTACCTGTAGCCCTCCAAGCAGATTGTGAGTGCGTGATTGCACCCTAATTGCATACTTTTCTGCCTCCTCAAGCTGAAGCCGTACTGAAGGTGTTATAGTCCTGATGATATATACATCATTTTCTATCTCTGTGAAGGACTCCTCGTCATTATACCAGTCGGCATCCGCATTACACCTAGCATAAAGGCCGGTACCAACCTTTCGAAGGTGCATCAGAGCTAATTTACCCCCCAGAGGCTTACAGTTCAAAGGCATATTATATAGACCATGTCGGAAATCAATTTGCATCTCGGCTCGGCGAAAGTGAAGCCCCTTATTTGTTAATGCAAACGCATTGTTCCAGTGCACGTCGTTTCGCGTATATTCCAGGTTGCCACAGCCTTCAAAATCCCTAGGCGAGGTAGCAAATAGACTACAGTAGAGATGTGTTTTACTATCAAAGTATGCAACATTCCTGCTTGGGGACTCGTCGAAGGCAAATATTGAAAGATCGTTAGATGCTTTAATTATCTCCTCCTGGAGTCGTTGAAAAGCTTTAGGGCCTTCACCGTAAAGTATCGGCATGTTAACGTCAAAGATACCCAGCAGACAATATGCTATGTCCTCCTCTCTCGTTGTCATACGCTTTGCAGCCCAAGACATCCTCCGTGCCACTGGCACAGAACTAACCAAATCCCTATCAATCAAAATCTCCTCGTCTACCAGGGTGATCTTGGAGACGAGGGATGTCAAGTCCGCCTTTGAACCGATGCGATTCCATTGAGAATCGAGGAAGAGTAGCGTCTTCGGCGCGATAAGCCCTTGCAAGCACCAACCCCTTGTAAACCATCTGCACTTGGGCAGAGCTATCTCGAGGGTATCGTCTGTGTCGAAATCGGAAAGCAAAGCATAGCAGACCTCAGCTTCTTGATACCAACGATACATGCTATTAATCGCCTCGCCTAGATCGGAGCTGCTCGTCTTATCGATGCAACAATTATCGACCCAGGCATAAGGTATCCCATGATTCTTAGCCATCTGGCAGGTCCCGACAATCTTCAGGTAACCAGTCTTATCTGTCGCCGGATGGTGTGGATCATCATTGATAGCCATCATTTCTTGGAACGAGATTTCGTTGTCATTGTCCCAAGTATGGGACAAGATGGCGTATCTTGGGGTATCCTCTCTAGGAATGGATACCAGACAAAGAGTACGAGTATCTATAAGACGAATCGCCATGATAGCAACGATACGCCAATGCGCGGGTTCACAACGACACTATTCTCACCCCCCCCAAAAAAAATCCAAGGTAGAGCAAGATTATGTAGAGAATTTGTAGAACGTGAGGAGCCTTGTGCGGGGGATGATGATGTTGGACATGGGTTAAATAATGTATCCACCTAATATCTTGCACATAGATATTTGACCAACCAACTATACAGATATTTGTCCAATAACTTCAATGATATATATTGTTGGAATATGGGGAATAGCCAATTATGTAATCTAGTCACGTGCCACCACGTGCGTGGGGCTAAGCCTAAAAGGGTTTACCTTTTAGGCTAACCCACACACACACAACTTAACAACAAGCAACAACAGATCGTGATAGCCTCATTTCAGTACCGTGTGTTCCCTTTCCTTTACCGTACGCTTATTGGTGTACACCTAATCCTTACCTAATTATTACCCATACCTGGTCCTTCCTACATATATCATCTAATCTACAACAACCAACATATGATCTGAGAATATCTACCTAGGCATAGTATACATAAAATACAGTGGGTATAAGGAAGCCGTATATGTATAGATATATTCAAGTAAGCCACTTAACTAGTAACATATAAATAGAAAAGACCCTAAGGATTGCGGAGATACGATTGATGCCTTAGATAAGCACGTCTAAAACATCCCCGGAATCTCAATAGGAAGTACCCTGGGTACAGCTCCATATCACCTTTGCTATAGGAAACTACCATGTACAGTCACGTCTAGAACTGACGGCCGAGGATTTGTGGAAGTAACTTAAGGAGAGTGCGTTTTCTTGTAGTTCCCTATGATCAATGCTTAATACCTACGTTACCACGATTTTAATAAATAATATGTCATATGTTGTAGTTAAAACGGGCGCAACTTTAGGTACTTTACTCAATGATTTTAATCCAGGGCCACTTGAGTAATCTGCGTTATCATTTTGCTTTTCTTCGCACATGATCGAGGGAGCCAATGGGAGACATTCCAGGCAACCAAATGCACGAACAAAGAGATGATTTTTGCCATTACTAAATACCCAACGCCTCCTCTCACCCTATCCTATCCTATCTCCCATCCCAACACAGCCCAGCACGAGGGCGCCTGGGAAACCAACAACATATCCAAAAGTAGACATTTTTGAGAGGGGAAATATAACCAAGGCTCGAGGGCCAGATGACAATATATCGCTCGCCCTATAAACAAGACAACATCCGCCAGAGGATCCGCTAAGTAGCAATAATATATAGCCCAATATGTTATACCTACCCCAAACGCCATGCTCCAATGCCGCCATTGTCGTTAACATAAATCCCTCGCATTGTGTATCATGCACGATACGCCGTAACCGAGAAGTATGGAATCTAAATGTAGCAATAACAGTCTAAAACTTGAGCGTAAATCAAAGGCTTCGCTTCCCAGCTAGGTTACCATCTTCATAAACCTGAAATTCGTTTTCGGCATCCATCAACGCCGGCTGATTGCTGGGATACTCGCTTGGGACGCTAGAATCCTGACTCATATTGTCGTCGCTCATAGCGTCATCATCCTTGTGGATATCAATGCCAAGCTCGGGATCGTGGTTTTCTGCGTCTTCTATGCCTCGCCACACTTCGTCTTCCGGACCACTATGCAATTGACTATGCAATTGACCATCCTGCCAGGACTCTTCGGACTCTCTCTGATGTGAAATATCGACCATGGGGCTATCATCGGCCGAGTCGTCATCATCGTCCTCGTCCATAGATTCTTCGCCATCGTGATGTTCGGTCCCGCTACCGCTTTCTCCTGTATCACCACCGTCGTCAATACCTACGCTACGACCAGCCCGTCCTTCGAAGCCAGGAGCGTTGCTATACGGCGTAGCATAGAATGGTGTCAAACTACGAGCAACAAACCCTTCGGGCACCGGGCTGGGCGAAGCTGTACTCCAACGTGGCGTGTTCCGCGGTCGGGCCGATGGAGATCGAGTACTTCGACGTTTTGCGAGGGCTGCGACATGCCCCATTGCAGGAATCAATCGGGCGACTTGCGGTGACGGGCGGCGCTCGTATTGGTGAACATATGATGTCACTCGCCGTTTCACTTGGGTAGGCGATTCAAGAGTTTGTGCTGTTGGTGGCATAGAGTTTGTGCGAACATGAGGTGGTCTAGAGCCTTTGCGTTCTCTAAGCATTGCCGGAGATTTAAAGCGGGAAGTCGAGCGATTAGTCCCAAGAGAAGGGGACGGTCGGGCAGTTCCCGTGAGAAGACCCGGGGCCGGCGACATAGATATCCTATGCCAATTGCGCTGTGCTGTATGTCGGAGACTAACAGGCTGAGATGTATTGGTGCTTGCGGGATGCTCGTCGAGATGGTCATTCCACGCCCAACAATTTTCCATTGCATCTGCCTCGGGAATTTCTTGACAGGTACTTTGAGAATTCGCGTAAACGCGGCTTAATTCTCGCAGCCGCTGCCAATTCCACCCGTTATCGTACGCATCTTGATCCTGAAGGTAAGCCTCGGGATGAGTAATAAAAAGACGTTGGGTGCCGGTTGCCTTCATGACTACGCTTGAGCGTAGAAATGAAACGTCCCATGTTACCGGTGTGACCATCTCAGGCGGCGACAGGAACCGCAGTCTTGAATCCTTATGTATCTTGCGCAAAGGTACCCATGGCGACTGTAGACCCAGAAACTTGGTCACGCGGTAGTGTTGAGTCGAACCATGATGAACGTTTGCTTGCATACGGGAGAAGGTACGGAACAAAGTTCCGAATGCATCGCAAATAGCTTGATGAACGCTTCGAGCATCCGAGCCGCGAATAGTCACATTCTTAACAAGGCCCCGACTCTTAAGCCGTTGTTCAATAACACGGTTGGGCGCACAGGCCCGAGCTAGCAGCCAGTCTGACTCAAGCTCGGGCCCAACCCAATCGTTAAATTCAGCAGACTGAGACTCCAAAACAGAGGAACTATTAGGCAGCTGCGTCCATTGATCAGGTTCAACATTGCTGCCTGGGGAGCGTTGGCTCGCGTAGTCGTGGAATCCCATCCATACACTCTTCAAGGGGAAAGGCAAAAAGATAACTTCAATCTCCCATGGGCGAGTGTAGGATGGGAAGGACGAAAGGCCTTGCAGCTGACTTAACTGGGACTTCAGTGCTTGAAGTTGACTGTAAAGCTCCGCACGGCTCGCCACGTGCTCGCTTCCGACGGTGGAAACGGACGCTACACTGGCCATGGACTCGTTAACATTTAGGTGTCGGGTGCGATGATCAGAAACCTGCGTGCCATCGTTAATTAACTTCTCGACTTCTTCCACGCGCGACTCAAGTTCGGTTATCCTTAGGTCACTCTGGTCATGCTTCTCGTCACAGCCATCATGGCCAACAGCTGAGACCGATGGATTCTCGAGCCGGTCTAACCGCTGTTCGTGCCCTTGAACAGCATCGGATAATTGCCTGATTGTCTGTCGACCGAGTCCAGGGGGAGATAAGCTCTGCCTCTCAGCTATATCATCATGCCTACAAGACCTCGGGGTATTTGCGACCGTCTGTCCGTCATCCAAGAATTGATCCATGTTGGGATCAATAGTATTCTCCTCCTGTGGGTGGGTTTCGTCCTCCTGTTCTAGAGGAGGCTCGCATAACTTGGATTTGACACCACTTAGTGTCCCCAGTCCTTTCCCGGCAAACGGCCGCAGATATCCCACTCTGGCAGACGATGTCGTAGAGCTCGGCTGCGAAGAGATCAGGCACTGGCTTGGGATCGGAGGGAGTTGGCTTCCTTCGTCTGGCTCAGATTGAATTAGGTTGGTCCAACTTAACGTATCCGGGATAGAAGGTGGTGGTAAGGGCACCGCGACCTGATTCTGCGGCGCATTCTCCTGCTCCGCGAAATTTGAAAAAGGAAACTCATTAAACGCATAAATATCTATATTTTGATCCGCTGGCACCGGCATCTTGAATGAAAGATCCGGTACTACTGGTGTGAGGGGCTCCCTATTGGTCCTAGGTCGCTCATTTTCCTGGCCATTGTCCGCGATATCAGTATTAGCTGTGGCCGCGACAGGAGGTTGGCTATCCCGAATATCATCGTGAAAACAGGCATGATGGGAACACATGCACCAAGCAGATTCATCGGATCCGGCATTTCCATTAGGGTATCCAGGAGCATATACTGGCGAGATTCCTACTGAGCTCCCTCTGCTCGTCCTAGGTGAGAAAGCGCCGCGACTCCAGAAACGACGGCATCCACACTTAGGTCCCTGGGCACCGCGAGTTAAGTCCACGAAATTGCATGGTCCACCAGGAAGAGTTGGCGAATTGGCGATTATATGCGCATCGTTGTGGATATTAAAGAAAGGGCTGTTTGGTAATGAGAGGTCGGGGATGGATCCTGCCATTGGGTTGAGCGCTCCTCGATCCAGGGCATCGAAGGGGGAGAAAGAAGATGAAGCGACAGAGGAATTGATGAGGGGGGATGGTTCGGTATTTATTCTCGATAGCGATGGGAGGTGTCGGGAGCCTAGGCGACCCTACCGGACGCGGCTGGGTCGCGATCCGAAATATCTAGTACATGGCACTGCTCCTGATGTTAGTGTGGTCTCGGGAAGCTATCGTTGGGTTACCAATCCAGACTCCTTGGGTAATACTAACCGTAGGAAAAAGGAGGAAAGGGGGATAACAGGCTGCGACGATGGAGGAGAAGTCGTAATTTATGTACAAGTGGCAACAAGCGAGGGCGCGCGTACCACCGAAGAGCAATGCGAAAGACGAGCTTGAGGAAGGGAGATTATGGAATTCAGAGTGAGGCGTCTAGATAGGATTGGCCCGATGTTGATGGTGGGGGGGGGAGAGGATATGAGTGATAGTAGGTACTAACCTACACAAATGGAGTCGAGGCGTAAATGCGGGTTGTGATAGCTGTGGAGAATAGGATCCAGCAAAATGTATGCAACTTGATATGTACTATGTAGGTAAGATGCAGTGAAACAAGCA